TAAAGAGAAATGTGGCATCATGCACCAAAAATGAACATAATGAATATTTTGAAAAATTATGATCAGATGCACATTTGAAAAGACATCTTCTATTTCACCTGTCCAATGAATCAGATAAATAACAAGTACTTTATTAACGCAACACAGAAATTAGGCTTTTGGTATACTTTGCTTGGGTACTGGTATATATAAAAAAATACTGAAGAGATGTAGGAGTATTTCAAATTCACACTGGACTACTGAACTTTAGAATATTGCCCTAAGGAAATAGGTTCTGGGCAGAACTTATTTGAGAAAGATTTTTAAACTACCTAAAAGCAATACTACAATTAGGTTACTTAGAAAAACATTTTATAAAAATTAAATACTAGGAAGTAACAACATCAATATTAGAGCTCTTTTTTCAATGCTATAATTTATAAATATATATTAGATTACAGTAATTTAAAAGACAGATCCACATGTTCTCTACCTTCTAAAGTGAGAAAAATCCTTCAAGTTGTTTTCAAAATATGTTCAAAAACAAATCCATTGGATTGCTTTAAAAAAAAATAAATACACAGTCTCTCCCCTACAACTTGGTGTACTAAGTAGGGAAGATGTCAGCCAGAATTCTTTTGAGAAATACATCTCTAAGTGACTAGGTTGATAAAATTTATGTCAATAACATCAACTCAAAACTGTGTTGTATAGTCAGATTAATAAATTATGACTTTACTCTACATATGTCTGCCATAGTAAGCCACTCTTGCACTAGGTACAGTAAAAATCTCCTTTTGCAAAATGATTTGAGATCAAGATAACCACAAAAGAAAAGATTCTCAGGGGAAAAAAGTTATTCTCCCCAGGGAGTGTGTTAAAAACAAATGTCTTTTAGGATATCAGTAAGAGGAACATGCCAATATTCTTGCTTCATTAACAAATTTAAAATTATAGCAATGCTTCAACCAACCTCAATGGACAAATCTTTTGAAAATGGAAATAAAATTTTAGGATAACCAGGCTGAGCAAGAAAGGAATTAGAAGTGAGAGCATGTTCCCACTGCAACGGGATTGGGGATGGGGCAGGGCTAGTGCCTGCTTTGCCGGGGGAGATGGCACACAGGGCCTAGTCTCTAAGAGTTGGGACGGGCAATAATACTACCTGGTCTTCCAGGTCTCTGAGCAGGAAAAAGTCGCTGAGTTGGAAAGAAGTACCTTACACAGAGGCGATTCACATTTTAGAAGGCCTCCTGTAACCCTCTGATATTATTCCAACCTCTCCTAATGAAACCTTTGACGATGATGTCTATTACTTATGAATTCCTTTTCATAAAAAAAGTCTCCAAGTTCTTAAATGTTTTGTTTCATTTTTTTAACAATCACTGTTTTTGGAAATCCATTTTTATGCCAAAACATTACACTGACAAACATTCATTTTACTGAAGTGCCCTCCAATACATTGAGCCAGCACACATCACAGTTACATTTAGATGATGCTTAGTTATCTAGCAAAATCTGTTTCACTACTTTAGGTGCAATGCTGCAATTCAAGTAGTGGGAACTGTAGCCATCACTAGTTCCTTTTCAGTGTACTGATCATCAAAAACAACTGTGTACACAAAAGAAACAGAAGAAAAATCTGTCAGCACATTAGAAGTCATACTATAAAGAGAGGCCTCAGAAAGGAAGGAAGGTATAAAACGAATGAGGAAGGGAGGAAGAAAAGAAAGGAAAGATAAAACTCTAAATCCGTTTACTTCTTAACATTTAGCATTTAATGCAATACAATCCATTACACTTTGGAGATTCAAGTACGTTAAGACTTTTCAGGGACATTTTTTGCCTCAGTGCAAATACAGTCAGTCGTCCCTCGCTATCCGCAGGGGATTGGTTCCAGGACACCCTGAGGATACCAAAATCCACGGATGCTCAAGTACCTACAGTCAGCCCTCTGAATCCATGGATTCACATCTGCGGATTCAACCAATCGCGGGTTGAAACACAGTATAGGGGTATTTTCGATCCGCGGTTGGTTGAATCCCATGGATGTGGAACCCGTTTCTATGGAAGGCCGATTGTATACTTATCCTTGTGATTTTCAGGCATGGTCCACTCAAATCACAAGTACAAAACTCATATTACTGAACAGTGTGAGTTATAATTATGGAGAGTTTATTTTTCCTTTAAAATGGTAACCAACACACCATCAAGAGCATTCCCTAAACCTATTAAAGGTGTAAAAATTGACGTTTGTCATTGCACATAAATGAAATCTTTTCATTAATATGTTGAAATATACCTTAAAAAACACATTGACTTTCCATTCCACATTTAATTTCATTTGGGTACATAATCGGTGTAAATTTAAGAACTGATAATCTAACCAAATAGTAGAGTCCAAAAACAAATCAATTGGCAGCATTTCTTTTTGAAGGTGTGGATTGTCATTCTCTCATCTACTCTTTATAAATGGAAAACTCTTGAGTGTTTTGATTTAGCTCTTACCACTCTTGTGAAATGAGGGCCTCTTCTGTGATGAAACTATTCCAAAGCCCTTGTATTCATTTGGTAGGAGAGCAAATTCTAATAAGGCTTATACTTTATTTCTTATTTTAATAATTACTTTTATAAAAATGTTCTATTGATAATAACAAATTATTGATGTAATAACAAAAGTTAATTAGCAACTTACAGGTGATTCATGACATTAATAGACTATTAATTATTACTTTCTGTAATGGTTATTTTGAATTACTGGCTTACTGAATATCCTTCCCTAATAATTATTTTAAAAAATAACTTAGAAAATTTAATCAGATATCTATTATTATATAAGAAAGACACCAAAAGGTAATTGCCAGAAGTAATTCTGCAAGAAATGTACTTTGCATGTAAAGTATATGAATTCAGTAGTAATGTTTTACAGTAGATGTCCTTACATTTTAATAAGCTTCTCAAAACAGAAACCTTTTGTTCTTACTACAGTTTTTTATACAAAGTAGCTTAACAAATATTAACTGAGTTCCCAGTAACAACCTTAGTCATCAGGGATTAAATCATTACCTTCTGAACTCAAATTTACCCAGCCAGGTAACCATTCTATATGATCATACATAAAATCTTGTAAGATAAATTCTGCTTAAAAAGTTGAATACTCAGGATCACTTAAACACCAAAAATTATTTTGGAAATAACTTAAAAGTCATAAAGGGATCTATATTGTTTGTAAAGTATTAGATATACTTTAATTATTATAATCATAAAAAATTTAATAATAAAGGAAATTAGTACATTCCCTTACACATTCCTATCAATTTACCTTAGAACATTATAAGTTATAAAAGTAATTGGATAATTTCTTCTCTTTTCCTGTTTCTACTTCCACAACAGCATCTGAGTTTCATGACAAAACCTGATGAGAAACAACATTATACTTAAGGAAGATATTCCAAAGTAAACCCAAAGACTAAATAATAAAACAATACTATTTTCACAGGACTTTTGATGAATTACTCCAAAAAGAGGTTTTGCTTTGGGGACTTGTAAGCTTCTCTGTAATAATAAGAAACCAGACTCCTTTCTAGGTTGATCATTTCCCCATCCAACACCTTCAAGAACCACTAGGAAAAACTGCACAGCTAATAGCTTATTTTGTCTGTTTAAACTCCAGTATATAAACATCAACTCAAAATCCTCACAATAGTTTTGTGAGGTAGATGGGTAGATAAATAGCAAGTATCATCTTCATTTTGCAAATGAAGAAACTGAGGCACTGAAAGGTTACACGATTTGCCGAAGGTCGATGGTCAATCATGAAATTACAAACAGTATTAACTTATCTCCTGCTCTTGGCCTATTTGTCTCTACTCACACTTCACAATAAAAGGCTGTGGCTGTGGCTGTGTGTGTGTATGTCACCAAATGGGCAGTCTATCTGACCTTCAATTGAGAGTAAAATGTATCCATTGATAATTATTTTAAAGGGGATCTAATCTTAAAGATCATAAAAATTGAAGAAAATCAGATAATTAAGATGATACACTATTCCTTTTAGTATCTGCATAGAACTGTGTCTTTAAAAATTTTACATGAAAACCCTAAGTACAGAGAAAAATAAAAAATTTAAAATTATGATTCAGGGAAAGATTACTTTCAAGAAACATATAATCATATTGTTAGGATGACTATATAATTCATCTTTGAGATACTTAAGAGTGAAAGTAAGCACTATTAAAAATTACACAAGATAATAGGTGTTAAACTGGGACTGTCATGGGCAAGCTTAAGTATAGTCACCATTGGGTGAATCCATAGCATGGATTCTCTAGGAGTTGCAAACATTTCAGGAACATAAAAAAATTCTCTGCAAGCATGTTGTACTCAACTATATTCACTGTGCAATAAAATATTGATGACTTAAAATATAATACCTAACTTTGGCTTAAACACAAAGGTTAAAAAAATCAATTTAAAGTAACAAGCATGTTTAACGAACAAGTTATTACACATTTCCATTCTAATATAGTGTTCTGTTTTCTATAAACCACAATTTAAGTGTTAGTAATACAGTAAATGGATTCAATTTTTACGTTTGAATAACCAGATGTTCTTTTTCAAAAAGCATAAATAGGCACCTTTAAAAATTAGAGAATTTTGTGGGACTCTTTGGCTACTAAAAAAAACCCACTATTTACCACTAATGCTTAAGATTCTCCTTGAATAGAATGATCAACACTTAAACCAATATGCTAAATAATACAGGTGAACATTTCTCTCTGAAATGAAAATCTTTTACAAAGCAATACCAAAAGCATAAGACAATTTCCAGTTACTACCAAAGACTGAAAGAATAATACATCACCCAATTTTAATACACATGCTAAACATGCTATCAGTTGAAGTAGAATATTATTATACATGCAAAAACCTCACTGATTTGCATACAGAGTCGAAAAACAGCTTTCTTACATTCAGTCACGTCTGGTAAGTAAGACTTGTTTTAAGACATGGGTTTTGTAAATACGGTTATTATTTGAGGTCTCCATCTCTTTGGGAAATATAGGATTAACATATTCTTTAGAAACAGCAAAAATGTAAATCACAATAATAAAACTGTAATGTTATTTAGTTATGACTTATGGCTTCCTTGGACCTTTAAAACAACTTTCCTGAAAAAAATTAATCTGAAACAAACTGAATTACATGTTCTCAACATATACTGATCTTTATCATGAATTAAATCCTTCCACTGTAACTATACTTCTAAGGCAGACACTTCAGGAATGGTATGTAATAAATCCTATCAGAAAAGATGATACTCTACTTAATGAACGATAAACTATTATTACTAAGATGTGATTAATTTTCAGTGCCTTTTTGATCCTGACACTTTTCACTGAGAGTACAGTGTAAATTTTAGGGCACATAGATGTTCATAAAGACTGAACTGCTGTGTTGATCTTGGTTAGTTATTCTATAAATTCTTTCAGACCTTAAACATCATCAAATATTCTGCAGTGAGACATCGAGAGGTATCGTCCACCAGGCTGATACCTGAAAGGTGGATAAAGAAGTGATCTGAGGCATCAAAAATAATAAAGGAGGAGAGAAAAACAAGGACACATTAAAAGGAAGTGGCTACATAATTTATAAGCACTGTAAAATCTATTCAGTAGCTGAACGCAGAAACTTACTCTCCAAGGATATTATCCCAAAGGGATTTACTTAATTATAAATCAAGCAACAACTGTTTTAGAGCCTAGCATACAGATATGACAGGGTAAGACATGTAAAAAGAAAGGGGTGGGACGATGTAAAACACATGATGGAACTTAAGAGATCCACTCCTGATTGTTGAATATAAATAGAATATTCTAGCTTTTTTGCTATTTATAGGCAATACTATGGCAAATATCTTCATGCATATATTTGCTTTTGTTTAATTACTTCCACACAGCATAGAGGCTAAAAGCACAGACTCTGTAGCAAGAGTCCTGGGGTTTGAATGCCTCACTTACCATTTACAAGCTGTATGACTCTGAATAAGTTACTGAACCTCTCTGGATTCAAATCCAACTGGATTTACAACCATAAAATACAACATCATTGTTCAAGTGCTTAGAATAGTGTCTGACACCTAGCCATAGCTATGTAGCTGTTGCCAAATATGATAAATTTCATATATGGGATTGTTAGAAATAGGCATATAAACATTGTTAAGATTCTTACTATTGATTTCAATTCTTCTTTCTAATACCACTAGTAGTTTATGAAGATATCAATTTCAATTACCATCACTGGCTGCTACAATTTTTAAAATATAAAAGCATTTGAAGGTATAAAAAGGAATCAAAGGTTGCTTAACATGCTTTTTATTAGTAAAGATGAACATTTTCCTTGTGTTTGTTTATCTAGCCATGTCAGTATGTTATTAAAATTTCAGAGGAACGCTGGAGCCAAAATGATACAGCTGGAACTTACCTTTCTGATTCAGATTCAAGAGGATCATCAGTGAATGCTGCTGCATTAAAATCCAAAGGTTCTGCGTCTTGGAGGAGTTCTATTCGGTCCCTTTCAGTCCTATTATTAGCTCTGGTATATTTGGATGCTGCTGCAAAAGAAGAAAAAAATATGTCTAATTTTCTACTGTCTTTATGGGTCACAGTCCATGGACTCACAGAAAGAAAAGTCAATTTTCTTTTTTTTCTTTTTCTTTTTTTTTTTTTTTGTGTTGTCCTTGTCTGGTTTTGGTGTCAGGGTGATGTCAGCTTCATAGAATGAGTTAGGGAGCTTCCCCCCCTCCTCAATTTTTTGGAAGAGTTTGAGAAGGATAGGTATTAAGTCTTCTTGATTTCCTTCATTAAGTAGTAGATAATAACAACAATAAACAAACACATAGGGACAGAGATTGGATTGGTGGTTACCAGAGGGGAAGGGGGGAGGGTGGAGGGTGAAAGGGATAATTCGGTACATGTGTGTGGTGATGGGTTGTAGTTGGTGTTTTGGTGGTGAACATGATGTAGTCCATGCGGAGGTGGAGGTACAATGATGTACACCTGAAATTTTTGCAATGTTATAAACCAATGTTACTGCAATAAAAAAAAAAAAAAAAAAAAAAGAAAGAAAAGTCAAGATTACAAAGGATTTGAATTTTGATTGTTAAAAAAGTATTAAGACAACTATATGGTTCCTTAAAAATCAAATGAAAACGATAAATAGTATGATAGAAAATAACAAAGAAAAGTTCTCTCTTGTCTCTAGTTTAAGCTCAGATGCAGCTACAGTGCAAAGACTTAAATAATATGAATCAGAATTAATATTTAACTATGGTATCGTAACAGTGAAATTGTTCATTATCAACTCAAGTTTCAGTTGATTTCACAGTGAATCCAGGGGCTGCTACATCTCATTTCTTGGCTAGGATTTTCTTTAAGGTGTAGTCAACTCGAGCTCTTCAAGAGAGGCCTGAGTCTTTTTTCCATGAGACAAGAGTTTCGGGCAGCAATGTCTAACAGAAATAAAATATAAGCCTCATATTTACTTTTAAATTTTCTAGCAGCTACATTAAAAAGTAAAAAGAAATAGGTGAAATTAATTTTAATATATTTAATGTAACCCAATATATCCAAAATATTATCATTTCAACATGGGGCACCAGCCACATTGCAAATGCCCAATAGCCACATGTAGCTAATGGTTAGCATCCTGGTCAGTACAGATCTAGGGCACTCACTCTCCCTTTTCTACATGGATGGGGCTTTCTTCATCAACAACCTAAATTTTCATAATGCTGTTTTGAGCAGTCCAATACTTCAAAAGAACTTCATGATATAGTTCCTTTTGAAAACTGCAGGCAAGCCAATTCCATCATATCTTACATTTTTGCCATCTTGGACTCTGCCCTTCTCTTTTCTCTCATTCATTCAGCAAATATTGGTTGCCTACCATACACTAGGTTCTCTCTAACTCATCATCCTAAGGTGTTGTGTTTCCTCCTCTTAACCATTCTCCCATTCTCTAGATCTTTCCACTCTGTTAACCTCTATTCCACGGTAAGCAAGCTTCCAAATCTCTCTGTAGAATACTCCCTCTATTTCTTAGCTTTAACTAAAACTTGAGCTCTCTGCTATTTCTTCTACCCTAAATCTCATTCAAACACATCCTTTCATCTCCAGGATCACTGCTCATTTTAGGCCTCATCATTTCTTGACTGCATTACCAAAACAGACATTAAAGTGGTTTCTGAGTCTCATTTCCCTAGAAATCATACTTTATGTTGTCATCAAATTTATCTTTCTAAACCAAAAATCGGAGCATGCTGCTTTCCAGATTGGAATCTTTGGGATAAAATCTAAACTTCTGAGCACGATAATATCTGTTTCCCAATTACCTCTGTAGCCTCCCCCCTTATTAGGCTCCTTATACCTTAGGCTCTAGTCACAGAGAAAAACTTGCATTTCCCTAAAGGTTCTCTCATGTCACTCATTCTTTCTTCTGCCTAAAACACCTTCACTTGGCTAAGTACTATTTGTCCCTAAATACTCAGTTAAGTATTTCTTTATCACAGAAATCCTTTCCCAATAAAGAACTCTTTTTCCATCCCCTGAGCTGAGTTCCCTCAGCATCAGGTATGCACCCTTCTACTTTCTTAGCATTCCTACATCTCCCCCAAAGACAAACAACCTCTACCTTCTACTCAGTGCAGGGTCCTGGGCAAAAACAGGTTTCTTGCCACCTCCCGAGGGGTAGATGGCATGGCCAAGGATGTGAGGAGGTTTCCTAACCCAACCTACTGGCAAATGTCTTCTACCTGGTATCAGTCCCTCACCAAATTATGAGCGTCCTAAGGACAGAAAAATTATTTTCTCTGTATCCCTGTATACCTGGGAAAGTATTTGATCTATATGTGTCAGATAGCCTATATCTACTAAGATAAAAGTGGAAAAAAAACCCTAGATAAATAGTAGAAATCAGCACCTGCCTAGAACATGCCTGGGATAAGTACTGATATTATTTAGGGTAGTACAAATACTACTATTCATTTGTTGTCCCACTTTCTCCTTCTCCCACCAAAATGCATATTTGAGTTTCCCCTTCCTTCTATACACTGAGAGATGAAATAGGAAAGTCACCCAGAGCCACATTTACAGTCTATAAAGGCATTTCTGTATGGGTATCCTAATTCCCAGTCTCTACGCAAGCAAGCATAAGAAGAAAATTTCTAAGAGAACTAGTAGATAAACTACTTACATCGATTGGCACTAATATCTGAGAAGTTTGACTCTTTTGGGTCAATATGAACATTTCTGTTTCTAGTAGAATCTTCTCTATTGTGCCCATAACGTTCTTTCCATTCCTAGGAAAGAAATACAAATGAATACATAACAAAAGAACTCACAGGCAGAAAATAATTCATCATTGTCAACCGATTATAATTTAATTCTTTTTCATCAGAAATTTATCAGATTGTCAGTATAATTAGCATAGGGCCTTTAAAAATCAGAGGTCAGTAATTTTTCTTATCTCTACATGATTTTAATACAGTCTCTCAACTTAACTTTTACAAATGAACACCTTTATAGACATTTTTGCTAGCCATGATTATTCTAAGTTATTCAATTGTTCTATCTAAAATGTCAAAGCAATATTACAACTACAATAAGCTTAACTTGACCATGTAAAAGTTATGAGAACTCATAATAATTAATGAGATGTTAACAAAACTTGCTTCTACCCAAATAAACTATAGATATTATAGACCTGAAAAATCATTTTCAATAGCAAAATTAAAGTTGTATACAAACATAATTAGATAATGTCTCACATGGAACTGTGCATAGTCTTAACTGCAGTAAAACTACATTAAACGGGATTCTACTCATTAAATTCTTAGAATTGAAAGGAACATTAGAGGTCACCTAATTCAACCTCCCATGCAGTGCAAAGTTTCATTCTAAAATAGCCATGCCAGATGCCTTTTGGTTCTCTTACTAGATGACGTGGAAATTTCTATGTGTGAGTAGCCCATTGAAATTTTGCTAAACTGCAGAAGTTAGAAATTTTCATAGAGAGGTGAAATCTATGCCCAGTAACCTCCATTCTTTGGTTCTAGTTACGCCTTCTGAAATAAAGAACAAGACTCCCTTTACACGACACACACTAAAATACATGAAGACAACTATCATGTCTCCTCTAAGTCTTCGTGTCTCCAGTATAGACACACCCAGATATTGAAAATTTGTGGTAATTGTGACTAGATTTTTCTAATTTTTTGCTTTATTCCTTCTAGGAGGAGGTTAGTTTGCCTCAGCAAATAGAAGACTGAAGAAAAATTGAAGAATACAATTAATGTCATATAACAAAAAAAGCATAACAATTCTAAAGCAATCAAAACCATTTTAAGAGCAAGACTGCATGAATTCATTCATTCATTCAACAAATATTTACTAAGCACCTAGGCAAGGTGCTTACTAGCAGGCAAGAAACTGCTGGATTTTGGACATGAAGTAATGTAATACTAATGACTTTTTAGTACAGGACACCTAGCATGTACATCTGAAAGCATTAAAATTACCTTTCTTTAAAAATATGTCCTATGTCATTTTCCAAGTGTTCTTTGGTCTTCAGCCAATTATTCTAAATCAGTAAGATTCTTATGATATTTCACATTAATCTTTAGGTTACAGCAATTTAATAAATACTGTACTTACTCTTCTTCGATTTTCACCTTCTTCTTGCCTTTGTCTTTTTCTCTTCTCTAGAGACAGAAAAGTGGTCTCAAATTTGGTATGACATGGTTTAATTAGATGTAGAGTAACTGAAGTAAAGGTATCAGGCTATGATCAATTTCCTTTAAATTACTACAAAGTCAAAGGTAATAGGTTATTGTTGGAAAAGACCTTAGAGGTCTCCTAACTAGAATACTGTCTCTATTTTTGTTGGAGACAGCCTTCAGGCTCTGTCTAACAGTTTCAGTGAGGAAAAAGTTCTCAAGATGACTTGAAATTTGCTTCTCTGTAACTTCTCTGTTCTTTACGTCTTATTTTCTAAATTAAGTTCATACTTCTCTTCCTTCTGCATAAAGGTCTCCTCTCTTATTCTCTTCAGGGTATATACTCAGTGGTTTTTTTCCGTAAGATATATGCTCTACAGACTCATAATTTTGACTGTCCTTCTCTAAATACCTTCTAACTTATCAGCCTTACTCTTGAAAATCTTACCCAGAACTGGATATGATACTCCAGATGAGGTCTAATTCATGCAAAAAGCAGTAGAACTATTATATCAACTAGACGCCACCTTCCTACGAGAGCATGTGAAGGCTACACCACTTTATTTTGGAGCCACAACACATTTTGGCTTATATTTAACTAATGACCAGACAAAAGCCCCAGAGCCAGGTAGGGAGAATGTCTAAGAACCAATGTCCCAAAACTCAAGTTTTGTTTTTCTTTTTCCCCTATCCTACCATCACTTGAACATCAGGAAATTTGATACATTCAGTTTTGAGATTAGAGTCTAGTAGAGTGCCATGTATTCTAACAGGTTGTTAATGATCATCACATTCTAAACACCAGCCTTGGTTTGAATGATTTCCTATGTAGTATTAAACTGCTGATTCTTTAAATTAATGAGTTTTATAGTTGTACTGAACTTGGCAAATCTATTTCAAGGCAAACATGAAAATGACTCCAACACCATACAAGGGCATTATTTAGTTGCAGACATACTAATAATTACTGCCCCAGAATTTCTTAAAGACAGATGAAACAATCATTTATGTTTTCAAATTATTTTTGCTATGAAGGCTGTATGTAGATTTTTAGCTAAAAAACATTAATTTATATCTTCAGATAGATTAAAAATTATAAATTATACAAACATTAATTTTATATTTTCAATCTTAGCACTTTCCTTTCATTTATTTTAAAAGACAAATCTTACCTCGTCTAATTAATTCTTTTCCTTCATCAACTAAGTCTGATGTCATATCATTATCTCCCATGAACTGCTGGAAACCAAGCAGATTCAAACAACGAGTTCCCAAACTAATAAAAGTAGATTTTCAAAAAGACAAGCGTTATTTCACATTGTAAATGTTTAGATAAATTTTTCTTCAGTATTGTCACCCCTCCTCCTCAAAAAAGCCTATGTTTTATTATTAGTTATCATGGCAAGTTACAGAGTTACATTTGCCTTTCTTTAAGAAGTACTTATTTCTCTTTCTAAGAAGCTCATATGCCCAATACTTCACAGACTAGGATATGCACCATATCCAGATTTCTTATGGAAACAAATTAAGTCATGCCATTAGCATATGTTCAGAAAATTATTATACCAGGATGTTAAACAATGGCTATAACACAAAAGCAATTTATTCTTTTCTTATATTCAAACCGTAATTTTAATACTGAAAATACACATATACAACCAATATTTCCAAGTGTAGAATATTCTGGTTTAGAAAATCTTAATTATGCAAATTGATTTTCATGTTCAATTTTTTTTATCCTCAGAGCTAGTCAATTCTATTTAAATAGGTTTTATTATACACTCAGAATTGATTACTATATCTTATCTGGGGGCTATCATTTTATCTTATTTGGTATTTATTCTAAACCTGATTGTTGTGCAGGACAAGAGTACTCTGAAAATATGGCACACAAGGAAGGAAGCAATGGATGGATAGGCAGGATTAATATTTGTGAAGATCCTACTATGCATCAGACAATTTACAGATATACTTTTATTTAATTCTTACTATAACCCTAAGAGATAAATATTACTTTACAGATAAGGAAACAGAGGCAAGGGGTTAAATACTTTGCTAAAGATCATTTAATAAATTTTAGAGCTGGGATTTAAATCTCAGAAAAACAAAGACCAAGCTCTTTTTATTACCTTAATTCTCACACTTCTGCACTGATGTACTTCTATACTAATGGCAGAAGCCTGAACATTTATGGAGTCAAGGGGGGAGAGGAAGAAGGAGAAAAAGAGAAAGAGTGTGCGTGTGTTATTGGGAAGAAGGGCAAACAGCAGAGTACTTAAAAGAAAGTGAAGATTTCCCCATTTTACATTAGCAATGTGTAAAAATCTGGCTATTTCATAATATATCTGCTTGTTTTAATATATAAGGAATGTTTTATATGACTTACTATGGAGTAAAATTGGGGTGTCACATAGATGGTTATGCTAATTCTATAACTTTAAATATTCCCTTACCATCTTCATTTCCTTGTGGGAATACTATACCCCAGGATGAGAAGCCCCAAACTAGATCATTGCCTCTGTGAAGATCTTAGTTTTAGGAAGGAAACAGCCTTAGGCTCTCTAGGCAATTATGTCTGAATATCACCTCTGGGTATGGCTGTGTTGCTGGTAATGTGGGAATTAGTTAGATTAATTACGGGAGCATGGCTAAAGAAATGGACCTACAAAGCAAGTTATCATTAAAATGTCAGTAAAGCATTGCCTCATATATTTTTATAATAATATATCTATTTTGACATATAATTTGAAAATTGAGGAATATGACCTCTTTTTTCCTTAAAGACAAACTGGCACTCAAAGCTTACCCTAACTAACTCTAAAATACTCTTAATGAATTAGACCACCAGGGCTGGCTATCCTAATATGAGTACATACATATTACTTGTAATAACTATGTAACAGTATTGAAAGATTTAAATGAAAAGTGGTTGGATGAAACATTTTCATCAGAAAAGCAAACTGATTAACATCAATGAAGTATTTTTTTAAAAGTGGCATTTTTGGTCTGTCATGGACCACTTAAGCAGTAAGAGGGCAGACAGAGTCTAAGGATGAGGCATCTGACATGTGGAAGTAGGGAAGACAGGGTGCTAGAAGCCAAGCACACCTGTCCTTAACTCCTTTTGAGTTTTACCCCGCCAAGATTCTACCACTTTTTCCAATCCTATAAAAAGAGTAGCCTGTGTACTTTCCAGCCTTACAGGTACTGCCTGATTACAATTACTCCTCACCTGACACTTTGCACTGGCTATGGTCTGAAGCATCTAGAAACCCAGCAATAGGGAAAGCCCTAAGACTAATTTATGTTACTGGATAGAAGCTGGGCATGGGGGTGTTTTATAAATTACATTGGCTGTTAAGTGTTGAAGGCCAGGACTTAGAGTTAGCATTCTGTAATTAATCCTATCACTTTGTAGCCTGAATACCTACAATAGAATAACTCCACCTCTCTTTTCTTAAAAATACCTTTGGAGGGAGAACATGACCTGATCACTTTAAACTATCCCCAGCTCCTCCAAAGCCACAAAAAAAGAAACGACAACCAAAACCCAACCAGTGAATATTTAAAACAGCTTCAAGGAGAAAGGATATCCAGATAGGGCTAAGAATATGAGGAAAAATAATTGATGTTAGGTTTATTACCTAAAATAAGTAGCAATGCAGAGAATTACCACCAACATAGGATAATATATATAGAATCCATCTGCAATAAAGGACAAAACTTTCATGGAACCCATAATCTGAAAAGCAAGAAAAAAGTAAGTTAAATCAGTACAGTTATATATTTTTCATCATTAGAAAATTTTCCCATAATGAGTTATATCAATAAATTTGGACTTTTCAAAAAGTAGAAATAAAGCACTAAATGGACTTATTTTTAAGTTTTCATCAGAAGAAAAAAAATTTATAACTACAAAAGGTGATGGACATTAACTAAACTTACTGTGGTAATCATTTCACAACATATACACATATCAAATCAAATCATGTTGTATACCTTAAACTAATACAATGTCTTATGTCAATCTTAATTTGCTTATTTATTAAGGTTTTCACCTAAATAAAATTAATATTTTACAAATATTACTGAAAATTATCATACACATTAAGACCATAAATATAAAAGCTAATATTATTATATATCAGGTCTACTGCTCCTGCTTAGCTGGACAACCTATGTGAACCAAAAAACATTTTTTATAATAAAAGAGAGCAAAATCACTTTTATCCAGTCATTAGTAATTACATATACAACCTTTGAAAGAAACTTTTAGTTATTAAAAAAAGATCCTAATAAGGCTATAGAACTTTCCTGCTAGCACTAAAAGAAATTTCATAATAATACCTCATATAGATAATGAATCTAAAAAACTCTGTTTTCTGACCATACTTACAGATGTATAAGCAGTTGGCTGCGTATTCTGGTGAGAAATGGATGAATCCATATGGGTCAAACCCAAGAAATTAAGACATAAAGGAGGAGTCAAACGGCAAAATAACCTGCAATAAGCATTTATAAAGAGAATATACAAAAAATAAAGCAGCAAAATACACTTATTTAAATGTATTAAAAACATTTCAGATCATTGCAACTTCATCTATTTGTAATACCTATATTTTGAATTCTTAGTATGAACTGCCCTTACTTACTTGGGAGACATTCTGATAATCCTATTAATCACATTCCCCTTAAAAACATCCATACCTGCATGGCAAAACTCCAGCCTCAGCCCGCCTCTTTTGGTACTGTTTGCCACTGCTTTATCCCAAGAATTTCTGGACTGCCTTTGTATGTGCCTCTTTCAAGTCTACCATCTGTGCAATCTGTCTCAGCAGCATGACAACGACAGTAACATTCTTAAGGTGAATTGTACTCAGTACATAAAAGATCTGAAGTTGTATCAAAGTACATCACTCTGACAAGTACAGGTATAAAGAATTGTTAGAGTTCAGTTTTGTTCAGATAAAAAGAGAACCTCACAGAACTACAGAGTTGGAGAATAGGAGGAGAGGAAAATGAAGGGAGGGTATGAATACAAAGAGGTAATATGAGGAGTTCTGTTGTGGTAATAGAACAGTTATGTATCTTGACTGTGGTGGTTATAGAAATCTACATACACGCACGCACACACACAAGCGAATAAAAGAATAAAAAATGGTGAGAACTAAATAAGGTTTGTAGTCTAGTTAATAGTAATGCATTAGTGTAGATTTCCTGGTTTTGATATTGTCCAACAGCTATATAAAATGTCTCCATTAGGAAATCTGGGTGAAGGTTAATAGGACTCTTTGTATTATATTTGCAACTCCCTGTGAGTCTATAATTATTTGGAAAAAAAGGTTAAAAAAAAGTCTTAGAGATGCTTCCGATATTAATTTCTCTGTGAACTTTTCTAAGTCCAGCCTTTATAAATACCTAATATGACTAATTTAACAATATGGGCAAATAATAGATTGTGCAACCTAGCCCAAGCTGAAGGCCTCTCTCTAAACTCTTACTAAATCTCTTAGCAAAAATTATTCCTGTTGGTTTTCTTAGTCCTCTACAATTCAGTTCAAGGCCACTAAATCTTAGAATACTCTCTAGGTCTGACTTAGTCTCTAAACTCTCAAATGTTCCTATTATTTACTAACCTATTATTGAATCTCTAATCAGTAAATCCAGCTCACTATGTCTTTCTTTTACCTCCTAACCTAGCAAATCTATTTTAACCTAAAACATCAAGCAGGATTTGGCCAACAATCAACAAACATCTAATTAATACTTAAACCTAATCACTTAGCTCATAGAAATACAGGGTTAGTGGAAGACTCAAAAACAACAAAACAAAGGAGAGATCCATAAGAATACATACAATGGAGACATTTCCCTTGTTTCCAAACACAATCCTACTTACATGCCACTGAAAAGAAGGCTATAAGCATCAGTCTGGTGATGTGAAGCCAAGTAATAATAGTTAAATACACGAATCCTGAACACAGTAGAATAAACACAGATACTTAGGAAGAAGATGGAAAGGAAGCAAGCAATCTAAAAACAAAACAAAACAAAAACAGTTTAAGACTAAAGGACTTGAGCATGTTAGATGCTATTACAAGCATTATCCTTTATTTCCAGCTAATACTTATTGACACTCTAAAATTTAAACACAGTTTTTAACCACCTAAGAAAATGAAATTATGAAAAAATCTATGTCTCAAGCAGTTCAACATTCTATCCATAAGCTTCAAATCAACCTCCTGAAGTGAGCCCATTCTCCCATTCCCTTGGCAACTCTTCACACGAAGACTTTAAGTTATGTAGCTTCACTAGCATAAACAGGATCAAAGTATTCTCATAAAAAAATTCTGCACTGTCTTGCACTTTTTCATCTCTCCTTAAATACAGTTCTGAGTTTTTATAGTCTGGATAAATTGATGAAGCTCATTTTTGGAAGTGTGAATAATAACACTGGGAAATATCACTGTTTTCATTATTACTAGAAGAAATATATGGAGAAAAGATACAACAGTTAAGGATTACACTATGAACTGATACATATTTACAACAGATATAAAATAAACTGACCTCAATATAGATATAATTGTATGTTTTTTCTGCCAGCTGTATGAAGACTGCAAAGAGGGATAAAACAGGTGTAGTGCTAAAGAATGTGCACTCTGACCACACAACAATCACAGAGAAGATGGACAAAACCACAGCAAGTATCCTATAAAACCATGGTCGCAAAAGACATTCCCAGTACCATTCTGGAAGATAAAAGAAAAAAATGATTAGGAAAATCATAAAGGAGTAACAGGGTATTTACATTGTCTCAAAATATCTCCAAACAAGATACATAATTGCAAAGAGAAAAACAGTAATTTTACAATGGAGGAACCAGGCAGACACCATCCTAACCAAATGATCACTAGTAATGGGACAAACTGACATTATAGGCCTTCTGCTATGATGCATTGAGAAGAACACAACACCACTACTGTAGTATTCCTGTCAAAAATACAGAACCGGCATCTGATCATGAGGAAACATCAAACTCAAATTCAGGGACACTCAATAAGAAACTGGCCTATACTCTCCAAAAACATCAGTGTCATAAAACACAAACAGAAACTGAGAAATTGTTCCAGATGAAAGGAGACTAAGGAGACATGATAACTGAATGCAATCCATGATCTGAGAGTTTTTATAAAGAATATTATTGGGATGATTAACAAAATCTGAGTAAGGTCTGTAGATAATAGTACTATATCGATGTTAATTTCCTGATTTTGATCCTTGTATTTGGTTGTGTAAGAAAATGTTTTTAGGGCCGGCCCTGTGGCTCAGCGGTTAAGTGCGCGCGCTCTGCTGCTGGCAGCCCGGGTTTGGATCCCGGGCGCGCACCGACGCACCGCTTGTCTGGCCATGCTGAGGCCGCGTCCCACATACAGCAACTAGAAGGATGTGCAGCTATGACATACAACTATCTACTGGGGCTTTGGGGGAAAAATAAATAAATAAATAAAATTATAAAAAAAAAAAAAAGAAAGAAAATGTTTTTATTTTTAGAAAATATACATTGAAACATTTAGAAGCAAAGAGGCATCATGTCTGGATTCAACTCTGAAAAGATTAAGGAAAAATATATATACAGAGAGAAAGATAAAGCAAGTGAATATGGTAAAATGTTAACATTTGGAGAAGCTGGGTGAAGCATATATGGGAATTCTTTTTGTTATTCTGGCAACTTTTTGTTAAGTCTGACTAGGTAAAAATAAAAGTTAAAAAAAAAAGATAGCTCATAAAATTTAAAAGGCTATATTTTCACTTCATTCATTGATGAGTTGAGCTCTTGGCTCACTCTAAATCTTTTCAACCCATCTCAGCACAATTCCTGGTGATTTCAATATCCATATATATGATCTTCCTTTCCATACTCTGGTCTTTCACTTCCTTGACCTCCTCTCCTCCAATGATCTTGTTCTCCATCCTACCTCAACTACTCATTCCTATAGTTATCCCTATGACTTTTTACTGCCAGTAACTCCACCCCTTCCTTTTAATCTCATTACAACATCCTTGTTTCCAAGCAATACCTTTATCTAGTATTCTAACTCCACTGACTGACTCTACCTGGACCAACAATCCACTTATTCTACCACCCTTTCATTGCCGCTTAACACCAAGATGTCCTTATTGCTTTCTTTACCCAGCTCAGATTCCAGAGTCTTTGAGGATAATCACTCTCCGACATCCCAATTCCTTTGCCCTCTCTTGCTTCCCTCTACTTACTAAGCTAAACCACACCCTGGTGAGATCTAACTCCCTGGCTACTCTGAGCCTGTACCCATGGAGCTGCACACTGCAGGAGTAAGACACACAACTTGGCTGACTAGTCTCACTTTAAATTCTTAATCACTAGCTTCAAGTGAACCCTGAGCACTGCCTGGCTAGCCTACTATAATTCACCAATCTTCTCCCATGCCCACTCTCCTAGGCAACTATTTTGCATTTTCTCTTCTTTCTTCAAACCTGCAAAATCTCTTCCCCTATACTTTCAGCATTTCACTGAGAAAATAGAAGCTGACGTAAGAGCAGCTCCCCAAGTTCTCACCACTACATCTTCTCACCTGCTTAGGTACATTTGTGCCTTATTTCCTAATCTAAGGCCATTCTCTTCATTGTTCCCCAATTTTCCCATTTCATCTCTCCTACTCGTGAACATTGTCCCAGCCATTCTCTTCTGCCTCATCAAATTTCTTCTAAGATATCATTCCCAAATTACATGCTATAATTTCTCTCAACCCACTATCCTTCTCCTTTTTTCTCTATTCCCTTTCAAAAGGAAAACGTTTTTAGAGTTTTCTATTCTGTCTCTAACTGCTCTCTTTCTTATTTCTTCTAAACTCCAATCATGCTTTTTTACCCTCTCCCCACCTCTCATCTCTGAAATCCAATGATTAAGTCTTAGTATTCATGATACTTGACTTATCTGCAACATTTGAAATGGTACTTTACGCACCCTTTTCCTCAAAACACCTCACTGTCCTGGTTTCCCTCCTATCTCACTAGTCACTCCTTTTTTAGTCTTTTCTTCTGGTTCCTCCTCATCAACCTGATGTCTAAATTCTGGAGTGCCTCAGGCTTGGTCCCGAGACTTTCTTCTCTATCCCAATCACTTCTTTATTGATTCTATCCTGACCCATGGCTCATCTATACATTGATGACCCCCTAATTTATATTTGCAGACCCCCTGAAATCCAATTTCTATAGCCAATTACCTCCTAAGCATCTTACTTATACCTTTACATGTAACTGCCTGTTTTTCTCACTCCACAAGGACAGAAATTTTTGTCTTTTTTGTTCATTGATATGTATCAGGCACCCAAAAACGTAGCACATATGTGCTCAAATATTAGTTGAATAAATGAAAACAAGTATATCATTCCTTCATTTAATTAGAAGAGATCTTCACTGAAGAAGTCTTCTGGTATGTTTGTCATGGTCATAATGTCTTCATACTCAAGACCACACATGCAAAAGAGAATCAAGTAAACGTAACTGTTTATTTGATTAAATAAGTAAACAGAAGTTTTAATACTGTGACACTTTTGTATTTTCATTAAGTTCTTCACACTAAATTTGATGACATTTGAAGAGTGCCATAAATAATCATAGCGGGGAATAAAATAATTATGACTATTGAGTATAGGTTCTAAAAATAGACTAATGTAAATAATCAAAGAAGACTTCTTAGGAGAATATTTTAGTACTCAAGTCATGACTGAAAAAGAGACCCAAGCTTGTGATGTAAAACTGCTTAAAATTCTAATTATTTTAAGTATATATTATGTATACAAAATATGCTTGACGTATGGCATATATTTTTGCATAGAATTTTGGTTATCTGTGAAGTAACAGTGGAAACTGATAGATTATACATTATATGACGAGTAAAATAGTTTTTGGGAGGGAAGTTTATCAGATACATAATATTACCACATGGTATAAGTCAAATAATACAAACATAATTCAGTTCTGCATTAGTGAAAATATACATACTTTTTCCCTTCAGAAAAATTATCATCATTAAACTTTGAAATCATATCAAATTACATACCAACTGTAGGATTATAAAAATATTGGATAAATCTATTTTCTGGCTCCGGCGATTGAAAGGTGTGAACAAACTGATGAGTAGCACTAGTTTCATTTTTTGCTACATCTTCTAGATAAAATGCTTGTTCCAAAAGAATTTGCCATTGTACTTGAGTTCGACGGTGCCTTTGAACTGAATAAATCACCTAAAAAAGAGAACAGGGGGTATACCTGGCAGTGTTCTGATCCAACAGTGGTTCAACTCCCCACTAGGGAGGATGTTTTGGCAGTCACAACAATGGGGAAGTGCCAGTGGCATTTACTGGGTGGGGCCAAGGATGTTAATATTCTATAATATATGTAACAGTTATGCTCAGTGACTATTTCTCCCTCCCAAAATGCCAATAGTACCCAAAGAGAAAATGAAGTTAAAACACTTCAAAGAAGAATGATAAGGACAGGATCAAAGGTAATTTCAGATACATGTTCATTCAAAATTTCTTTCTTTGTGAGCAGTAACTATAAATCTAACAAAAATCATCAGTAAGTAAAATAGCTATAATTAATAAAGTTACCTGTTTATGTAGTTTTACCAGACTTTTTTCACTTGGGTAGGTATTACGCTTTTCATCAAAATCTTCATAATCATCCATGTTCCTACCCATTTTTTCCTGATACTCTGTAGGGCACTAAAAGGAACAAGTAGATTTTTAAAAATCTTATTTGCAAAAAGATAGAAATTTTATTAAAAATCTTCCGTTCTTGGGCATTTCTAATTTTCCTGAAAACATCTTCCTTTATTGGTATCTCTAAATAGTTAGATTTTTAGTTGCTGACATTTTCTTGAAAATGTTTTAAAAGATATATTGAGTTACTTTTTACCTCTATTAAAATTAATCTTTATGCTCAGATACATTGGCTGGGGATGGGTAGGGAAGGGGGCTTACCTACACGAAGCAACTACTATTTGAGAGAATTATTCTAGGTAGGCTCCTGAACTGTCAATTATTTTCCTAGCTAAATAATGAAGAAGAATCACAACAAATCCAAGATGCTGAATTTTTGAAAGTCATAGTACAGAGAAATAAATACATGATTTGGAGTCATCTGCCCTACTATTAGTCATTTATTACCCATATGAACTTGCGGAAGTTAACCTTCCTGAATAGGTATGAAAAGGTAGCAAATGTAAGAGAAATTATCAGAGAACTGATTCTCATGATTATCACCTTAGCCAAAAGGAACAATAGCTAATAACCAGTATAACAGATTTAAAATATAGGAAAAGAAGTAGTTCAGTGGTTCTGTGGTCGCATAGAAGACAATTAGGGAACTCATTTTTGAAACAATCACTTTTGGAAGTATACAAATACTCCTAATTCAATACCAATGCATCAAAACCTTAATTGTATGGCTTCCTAATGAAATGGTTGTGTTAAATATCTCATAATGTCATTCACTCCATGAAATATAAAATATACTGTAAAATGAGAAGTAGGAAGCTGACTGAAAGAGATTATTGAGGACCCAGTTTGTTTTCTTACAGGAGATATGACTTTAGTGGCCATATTCAATGACACTTTTACAAACTGTAAAGGTCCATCTCCATCACTGTGTCATGGTAATCACTATACATTACTTAACATAACTTCTATACCCACATTTCAGTGGAAAATACTGCCAATAATTAATGTTAAATTTGTAATAACAAAAGAACAAATTCTACGTACAAATTACTACTAGTTTATGGTTAACATTTCCATGAAAATGGAAAGGAGTTGGGAAGACCTCAGTCATATGCTGTTCTCATACTTGTCTGATGCTTTTATTATAATATTATATTATATAAATTTATATTTCAAAATAAAATAGATGAGAATATGATTTAATTACCTTTTTAAGAATTGTGTCAACACATTTTCTCAATGGGTGGTTATACTTGATGCTTTCATTCACTTTACAAACCTCCTGTAAAAATAGTAAGAGAAATAAAAATATTTCCATTTCTATAGATCAGATGTTTCAAGTGAGAATGCTATAGGTACTATATATATTCTCAGGAGGTCAATTTCAACCCAAATTACTTAGCATATACATGAATTTCCATTCACTGACCAGAAGTTCTTAAGAACACAAGTAAAAATACAAAAGTTATATATAGAATAGCTATATCCTCACACTTCTTATTACTTTCTAGATTTACTCCCTTATCATTTGCTTACTTAGTACACAAAGATGCATAAGCATTTAAAAAAGTCATGAAGGATCAGCCAAACTTTGCAATCCTAAAAGAACAGGATTGTATTCCTCCACTTTGCTCATCAAGTTCAATTATCTCATTATCTAAAACACAGTGAAGAAACCAGAAGAAGCAGAACAGGCTACAAGTGTCACAAAGCACCTGCTCCTTTCCAATGGGAGAGTATTCTACAGTTGTCACAACTAACGATCCATTCCACATTTGTTTATTTATAGGACAATATATAGCAACACTATGCTAGGTGTAAGGTCATCACAATCCATACCGGAGGGTGGGGTGGGAAGACATGGTGTTAAAGGTCTTCAACTAAGATTACAGTCTGGTGATGAGAAAATTAAATAAGCAATTTAATGAGTATGAAAGGCTTAAAGGGTTAGGGAGGGGAATCTTTAGAACCAGTAGTTCTCAAAGAATCACAATATTCTATAATATTAATGAAATTTTTAAAAAGTTGGAACCACTGTTTTCTAGGCAGAAGCAGCAGCATGTTCAAAGGCTCTGAGACAAGAGAGAACTGACTAGGATATTAAAAGAACATTCTGATTGTAGGGTAGAGAACGGACTTAACAGATACAAAACTGGAGGCAGGGAAACCATCTGGCATATAGACAAAGTTATGAAAAAATATTTATAACATATGACAAAAAAATCACTATGCTTAATACATGGAGAGCACTTACAAATCAAGAGAAAAATGAGAAGACACAGAAGAAACACAATTGGCCAATAAATGTCTGAAAAGTTATTCAAGCTCACTAAAAACAATTACACTTTTTAAAATGAGAACAGTTTTCTTGCAAAATTATAAAAAAGTGATATCATGTAACGAGGTAAGATTGTGAGGACACAGGGCCCCCCACACACAGTAAAATGTGATGTAACATATTTTGAAGAGAATTTAGCAATATCCATCAAAATTTAAAATATGTAGACCCTATGAATAATCTGTACTAACAGACACTGCTCCTGTCAAGGAGCTTAGCTTAATGAGGAAAACAGACATTATTCAAACAGAAATGGTGTGGAAACTGCTGTATAATCCAGTGTGGGTGGCTTTCTGATGAACTGATTATTTAAACTGAGATAGAAAGCATGAATAGGAGTCAGCCAGCCAAAGGAAGGAAAAGAATATTCCAAACAGAGGGACAGCACGTACAAAGGCCTCCAAGCAGAAGTGAACGAGGAGTTTCACGGAACTGAAAGAACTCCAGTGTGACTACAGGGAACAGGAGAGTAAGGGCCTGAGTAGCACTTGATCAGGCTGAAGAAGCAAGAGCAAAGCACTCCAGAAGGCCTTAACAACAGTTTACTTTGAGGTCAATGAGTGAGACCTAAACACGGAGCGACAAGACGTGGATTTTTAAAAGGTCACCTAGAAGCATCACTACATTACAATTTTCCATTACTAAGCTGCCTTAAAGTTTGTTGACTTGTAAGCACAAATTTAAATATAAACTATCCAGTCTGGTTATATATTATATACGAAATATCATATCTATTAAACAAAAATAAGTACTGAAACAGTAATTGTTGTTATACCAGTTATAAATTTAAAGTTCCTTCAAAAGTTTGTAACTTTTATAAAGTGTTCTAAGTATTTAAAATATTAACTTATTTTATAAATTTAAATTTTCTAAACAATTCTTTACTAGGCAGGCCAGACAACATCCTTGAAGTCATGCTAATAGGCAATTTTCAGTGGAAAGAAGTAGCTGTTTCTCCCTCTCCAAAATCCTTTACCTTGAAAAAGGACAAAAGGTAGAAGTGACTTCTTAGGCCATTTAAACAAATGCTTTTTGAATGGTTTGACATGGCTCATAAGTTTTATTAATGGTTCAAAGAAAAGTAATAGGCACACAGATGTATACATTCACTTCAGAAAGAAACATCATAAAAACACTAAACTGGTTTTTATAAAACTGTATTCGCTTTTATGGAGAGCTGAAAAAAATAATTAATAATTACCAGAAAAAGTGATTGAACTTTGTGATCTGTCAAAAGTTGCATTCAAAACCAGTGTATTTTAAAAGTTTTCTCTCAAACTAAATTATTCTTATTCTTGTTCCACGCTTTATGTCTGTAATACATTCTACACACACCTCCATCACATCGATCACCCTAAACCGCATAAAGCACTATGTCTCTTCCCATCTTGCAAGGTGTCAATGATTCCCCACTCCTTTCAAAATACAGCCTGGACTTTTCAGTTTGGCATTCAAGGCCCTGCTATCTGGCTACAACCTTACCTTACAAGCTTTATCTTTCCAACATAAACGTTATGCTCAATTAAATTTGGTTTTAAAACCTTTCTAATATCTGACCAGGTTGCTATCAGCTATGAAAATTCTACCCATCCTTCAAGGCCCAGGTCATATTTCGTTTTCTCCTCTGATCACTATTCAGAAGTAAAAATTCTATATACTAGATCATTTCCTTTGTATTATTCACATTACATTTACCATACACCATAAGGGACTGTACAATTTTCCACTCTAGACAGTTAGTATCCTATGGCCAGTTCTGCATAGCACTTAACACAGCAGAAAAACAGTATTTTTTTAAATGATGAAAAATTTTTCTCAAGTTTATTAATTTTCAGATACTGAGAAAAACAGAAAGGATCTCAAATTCCCTTGAAATATATGGACAAAAAAATTCATACCTGAGAAATCATGCATTTTGGGGAGGGGAGAAGGGTCAGAGTTCTCCAGCTGTCTATGAGGATCTGCTATTTTCAAAACATCCATTAAGAAAAAAGCAGTTTTGAGGCCGGCCTCGTGGCGTAGAGGTTAAGTACGCACGCTCCACTGCTGGCGGCCCGGGGTTCGGATCCCAGGCGCACACCAACGCACCGCTCACCGCTTGTCAGGCCATGCTGTGGTGGCGTCCCACATAAAGTGGAGGAAGATGGGAACGGATATTAGCTCAGGGCCAGTCTTCCTCAGCAAAAAGAGGAGGACTGGCAGATGTTAGCTCAGGGCTGATCTTCCTCAAAAAAAAAAAAAAAAGAAAAAAGCAGTTTCTTATTTACATGGAAAATTTTCTCTTATCTAAATTTTTTTTTAATTCTTTACACCTGAAACCTATGACTACTATCCTAAAATAGCAAAGAATGCACCAATGCCAGTCCTTAATTTTCCACACCCTATTCCTGAGTAGAGGACTCCTACCTAACAACAACAACAAAATCTGTCTTTATTCAGACACTAAAGATTCCTCCTAGCAAAATCTAGATCTCGAATAAAAAACTAGCCTTATTTTTGTTGAAGGAATACTGAATGAACTGGTGAAATCCATATTCCTCAAATCTGAAACAAGTGAATTTAACACCAACTTCTAAGGGGAGCACTACAAATTTAAATTATCTTCTTCTAACTATTTTATTATCAAATATAAATTTAAAATATCTTTTCAAAAAAATTCAAATTTTCAAATATAGATATAAAAAATCTTCTTTTGAAAAATGTAATAATATCTATCATATGCCTGAGAAAATGTAATAGAATACTATTCATAGGAGATTTACTCCTACATTTTGAATCAATGTTTTCTGCTATAGTACATTTTATAGGGAATAAATGCTGCAAAGTCAAAATAAAATTTTTCAGTCACAGTGAGCATTCTTTTGTTCATTTATTCATTCACTTAAAAACGGTTGCCAAGTATCTAACAGTCTAGAGGACCAGAGAAGGTGTTATGGGTTGAACTGTCCCCCCTCAAAAATCGTATGTTGAAGTCCAACCCCCCAGTACCTCAGAATGTGATCTTATTTGGAAAAAGGGTTGTTGAAGATATAATTGGTTAAATTAAGATGAGCTCATACTGGAGTGCAGGGGACCCCTAATCTAGTATGACTGGTGTCCTCATAAAAAGGGGAAATTTGCACACAGACAGGTACACAGGGAAAATACCACATGAATATGAAGGCAGACACTTACAAGCCAAAGAACACCAAAGACTGTCAGCAAACCACCAGAAGTTAGGAGAGAGGCATGGTTCAGATTTTCCCTACTACCCTCTGAAGAAACCAACCCTAGCGACACCTTGATTTTGGACTTTTAGCTTCCAGAACTGTGAGACAATAAACTTCTGTTGTTTAAACCACCCATTCTGTGGTACTTTTTTATGGCAGCCCTAGGAAACTAACACGGAAGGCTTCCCTGAAGAATTTTCACTTACGTTGAGACCTGAAAATGAAGTAGGAATTTGCTGAAGAGAGTGGAGAAAAGAGCATTCCAAGAGTTTAGGAATAGCACACTCAAAGACAGAAAAGAGAGGCAATGAATGTAATGGTAAGGGTAGGTGTCAGCAAACCAGATCACGTCCGGCCCACTGCCTGTTCTTGTTTGGAACACATCCATTCTCATTTGTTTACATATCGTCTATGGCTGCTTTTACGCTACAGTGACAAAGTTGCAACAGAGACCATATAGCACACAAAGCCTAAAATATTTACCATCTGGTCCTTTATAGAAAGTTTGCCAATCCCTGTTAAAGCATGAACTAAAGTCAGACTGCTTGGCTCTATCACTCACTAGCTGTGTTAACATGGGAAACTTACTTACCCTCTCTGTGCCTCATTTTCTTCATTTATAAAATGGGTATAAAAAAATCTCCCTCATAAGGTTGTTGTGAGAATTAAATGTATTAATATATGTAAAGTGCTCAGAAAGTCATAGGCAAATAAGTAAGTCTACATACTTGTTTGCTATTATCATCACCATTATTAAGCTTGAGGAATCAAAGTTGAGACTCAGGCAAATTTGTCTATATAATTGTTTGCTATTTCATTATCACTAGCAAGTCTGAGGAACCAAAATTGACCAATGTGAGGAAGACAGAGGTTTGAGATAAGGCTGGAGAGCTAAACATGGGCCAAATTATTTTCTGGTAGGCCACATTAAAACATTTTGGAGTTTATTCTAACATAAATGAACAACCTTCAACATGAGGTTTTAAGGTGGAGAGTAACATTATCAGAGTAGCATATTTCCCCAGAAGAGCAAAATGTGAGGTAACTACAATAATCTCTTCTTAAATCAATAACGAAATTATTATTTAACAGCAAAATTTTTATAATTTGTTGTATATTTATATGTGTGTATATATATATACATATATGTGTATATATATATACACACATACTTTCAACAACTTTGTGAAGTTGGTTCAAGTCATCTGCATTTTACAAGTGAGTAAAACAAAATGCCTTATTAAGATTGCAGATAGGAAACAAAACTTTTCGATACAAACTCCAATGCAAATTGTTTTCTAAAGAGGTTTCCAGACTTGGGATTACTTTGGGTTAAACTTTCAGGTAGAAGTATCCTCTGATTACTATCTTCACTTCCAATCTGTCAGGGTAATCACATAACTTATCATCTAATCTGGGAGACTTCTGAGAGTAAAAGAGGGCACTATGAAAAGTTACTCCAAGACAATAAGCATAACCCTGCACTGTGAATATATTCTCCCTAAATCTTTGTCCGTTAGAAGATGGAGATGACATCTCATGAAGCTGAACTGCCAATAAGAAGTCATCCTAGAAGAATCCTGCAATTCTTAAGAATTGCACATTGCCAAATTTTCAGTCTAAAGCCCAAGAATGTGCTAACAACAACAAACCAACAGTGTATCCGAAAGGAGATACACACAACTAGCTGACTGGTGACTATAAGGTTTAAACTTATTTACCTCCATGACATCTTCTAAAGCCTCTTCTGCATCTGCTTTCTCTGTCATCAATTTGGCTGTCTTAAAATAAGTTTTCATAAGTAGATAACCTCTTTTTGCTCCATTCCAGTACGACCGAGGAATTTCCACCAAGCCATACCCCAACAACAACACAAGAAGAAATAAACCCCATGTATTTGCAGCAGCTATCCCAATTGTCTGAAGCTGGTTCCTAAGAGAGAGAAAACATAAGCAGATAGCTGTGATAGATAAATTTTTCCAAAAAAATATACAATGAAACTAACTAGTGTTAAGTGGTTTTTCAGAAAACAACTGCCCTAAAGGATGGCTAGGGACTTTATATGAAAAAATTAGACCTTTGAATCCTTGGCTACTCTTTCAGTAACAGCAGATAATCTGTGTGTTTTAGTGGAAAGTTAGAGTGTGACTGCACAAATGAACTTTAACACAGGAAACACTGCTTCTATTATAGTTAAAATTAGAATCCAGGATAATTCATGGCAAAAAATATGTACATATTTTCCTGAAGAAAACATATTTTTCATTAGGTGTGTTCTTACTCAATATTAACCAAGAGAAGCCTGAAAAATTTTTTAACTTGTGTTGAGGCAGACCTACACAAATCTCAGAAATGCAACAGTGAGGATTATCACTACGGCTCTATTACTAAATTTTTCAGATGTACCTCTTCACGTATATTACAGAACACAATATAGATTTCAATTTTACGGCAATGTCTAAATATAACATTAAAGAGGAATATGCCCTCAAACTATAGTTAGAACAAAAGAAAAAATATTTACAAGTTCCAATGAAAAATAAAAACAGATATTTTGTCATATACAGAATTTGAAAGACTATCAAATCATAAGGTTAATACTTTCAACATATGGCTATTAGACAAAGCACTAGTCCTTTGTCTAATAGCTATAAAGATGTTATTCCATATTTTCCTTCTTAGTAATATGGATTATTCAGATATTCTTTTTGAGGAATCTATAAAACATATAACTTGATATGTTTCTTGATGAAATATCTGTTTACCTGAATATATGACATAAAAATTAATTTTTAAAAACACAAACATACACAGAAACAACGTTAAGAAGACAACTTTTCTTACCATTCTAAGTGCAAATGTGGGTTTACAGCTACATAAATTAAAAATGCTCCAAAAATCAGCAAATAGGTGCCATAATAGATTGCATTCTCAATCAGTGCAGTTTTGATCTTTCCAGTGATAGAAAACCCTCCTGATCTTGCATATGACTGCATAAAAGGTAACAGAATCCTAGATGGTTGGAAAAAATATAATTAAAAAACACTTGATATGTCTGTATAATTTCAAAATACCAGAAATAAGTAAATCTCAATTTTAACGTGTAGTTCTTTTCACGAATAAATATGACTGAGTAATTATTAATACTAAATAAACTATAATAGATGATTGAATAATTTTGTAATATTAAACTTGGGGAGAGAAAATGCCCTAAGGCAGGAGAGAGCAAAGCACATTCCTGGGAGCAAAGGAGGCCACAAGGACCAGCAGAGAGTACAACAGTGTGAGTGACTGAAGACGACTCTAAAAAAGGCCTTTCTTTAAAGGCTTTATAAAGAGTTTGGACTGCATCCAAAGAATAATGAGGAAGTATTTTCTTTAACAGAAAGGAGACATGATTGAATTTTAGTTTTCCAAAGACTGATAAGTCTTCAGCATGGAGAATAAACTGAGAGGGAACAAAATCGGAACTATTTGGGAGAGAGTAAGGGGTGCTGGCGTGGTAAGAAGCAGGAGGGGAGAAGACTGGTCGTCAACATACTGATTTTGAAGTATTTAGGAAACATCTAAAAGGAGCTGTAAGGAGGTAGTTTGCTTACCCAGCTTTAGAGTTCAGGAGAGAGGATTAGAAAGACAGATAGATTCCAGAGCCATCACCATATCAAACATACTGAAATAACATCAGTAGCTGAGATCTGGAAGGGTAAGTACACAGAATGAGAAGGAAAGAACTGAGACTGACTCTTGAGAAATATCAATTTTTAAAACAGAGGTAGAGAAACAGGAGAAGGGGCCGGCAAAGGAGACTGTGACAGAACTGTGCAGAGAGGAATGGAAGAAAACCAAGGAACATATAGGGTAGAAACCAGGAGAAGAAAGTGTTTGAAAGTGGAGAGAGAAAACAATAGAATCAAATGTTGCCAAAAGGTCAAGTAAATTAAGAACCTGTATGTGGGAGGGGAGAAGTGGGGCTAGAAAACAGGGTTCAGTGGGTTAAGGAATGAGTAAGCCATGAGCAAAGAGAGACACTAAATGTAGACAATTCATTTAAGAAGTTTGGCTCGGTAGAATAAACTACGGTATACTCATGAAATGGAACATTTCACAGAAATGAAAAAGAAATATGTTGTATATACTAATATATACAACAACACAACACAGATAAATCTTCCAAATATGTGAGCAAAAAAAGTGAGATGCAAAAAAGTATATATTGTATAATTCCATGCATATAAAGCTCAAAAACAGGCAAAACTATTCTATGGTGATGGAAGTCAGAATCATGGTTACCTTTAGGGAAGGTAATGACTGGGAGAAGGGCATGGGGAAAGCTTCTGGGGCACTGTTTAATGTTCTATATCATCATCTGAGTGGTTATACGGGTGTATTCACTCTGCAAAAAGTCAAACTAAACACAATCTGTGCACTTTTCTATACTAATTTATACTCCAATAAAAAAAAGTCTCCAAAAAGCATTTAGCTGTGATGAGGAATAGATCATTGAGGGGGGAAGCTAGAAAGCTGGAAATAGCTGTGATCTGAGAGACTTTTTGTTTGTTTGTTTGTTTGTTTGAAAGTAGGAGAGAACTGTGCATGCTTTGTTGAAACTGGAAGCTGTAAGTATTGGTAACAAGAGCTGAAGGGGATGTGTTCATATTTCAGGAAGAAGGATTAACTATATGAGAGGGACTCTTTCAATTCTTGAAGGGGAGGGAAGAATGGATGGGTAGGTAGGTAGGGTTTGTTGCTGAGAAGCTGAAAGAGCTGCCACCTGATGACTTCTATTTTCACTGTGAGGTAGAAAGCAAAGTCATCCGCTAAAAGAGAAGGTGATTGTTTTTAGGGGGTAGTAGAGAGAGCCACAAAAGGAACAGCAGAGGTTTGAAGTGACTGGAAAGATTTGTTGTGAAGAATAAAGAGCAAGCAGAGTAGAGAAACAAAGAAAGAAAGTCTGGCAGTGTTCAGGGCCCAGCTGAGTTCAATTACCATGAATTTACAGAGGCACTACCTACTCTACTGCATGATTTTTAGTTTTCACTACCTCCAGTTTTAGAGCTTAGCTGCCTGCAGAATATCTAAGATGCTCAGTAGGCAGTGGATAAAATGTGAGTCTGGAGCACAGCCGAAAGACAAAGCTATAGTGGGTAAAAAGTAAGATTCAGAACACGTCACAGGTCAATGAAACTACAGCTATAATTAAAGCTACACAGGAGAGTCAGATAACAAGATGACTAAAGATGGGACCCTAAGGAACATCAATATTTTGGAAATGAGTCACAGAAATGGTGCCCATGAAGGAAATTCAGAAGGTTGAGCTAAGCAGATAGACAGAAAATCAGGGGATAACGATAATCTTAGCCAGAACAGTTTCACGTAATAATGGAGCTGGAAGAATGAATTAAAGAGGGTCAAGAGAGAAGGCAATAACTGGAAGGGAACAATGACAAGAAAAATTTTTTGCTTCTGTTTTCTATTTCTTGTTTGTCTGTTTTTTTCTTTTCATTTCTTTTCTTTTAAGATGGAAGAGACTTGCACGAGCAGAAAGGGAAAAAATAAGTGACACAAATAAATTATAAACTATGAAGATTCACTGAAAAAAAAATCACTTCTTTTTTTCTTACTTGAACCAAAATTTTAAAAATTTTACTCTGCACCACCACTTACCATGTTAAAAATTGTGATGTCCAATACACCACCCTCCAGAAAACTGGCATGATTCCATCAGGAATGTAACTCCATGGCTTAAAACAGGGATGCTGGCTGTTTAATAACAATTTAAAGCCAATTAATCATAAATGACTACTTAAATGAATTACACAATTAATTTGTGTGTGGCAAAGTTCATTTACATTCAGATTTTAAATCACTGACTCTAACTTGTAAAATTTCACAGAAAACTTAAAATTCAAAGCTGACAGTCAAACTAAAAAACACATGCAAAAGGAACAAAACAGTCTGTACTAGAGAGGAACACCATTTAAATTTTCAACTTTCAATGTATTTTTAGTCATTGAGTAAAAAGAGGACATAATGTTCACCTAATAAACTAATAATGCAACAGTCTTTAAAAGAAAATGCATCATGAAATCAAATCTCTGATCTGATTACTTTTAAAATTGATGATTACCTTTAAAATACATGCTCACCCCATTTGTGGGGTTGGTTATTTTTTTGGGGGGGAGACATTAAGTGATTAATTCCTGGAAACTGAAATGCTAACTAAATCAATCACTACAGCATACCTCCTATGGAGACACATGTTAGCATCTATAGATAATTCTGTGTGAATTTTCTGAAGATATGATATGTATCTGACCACATATTCTTCCATTAATAGTCAGTCTTCCTAGACTGTAAGAATATTCTTTAGTCCAAGGGCTTCCAACAATCCACAATTGCTGCTGATCTATATCAACTTTTAATGATGCTTCAAAGGGGATTAACGTCTACATTTAAATTTACCCTTATCCAGATTAGGTTAAAAAATAATAATAAAAGCTACATAAAGAAACATGAAAATACTACTTAAAGCATTGGTAAAAGCTATAGTCAAAATATATTAGTTTTTTACTTAGAAGTTTGATATGAATTCAATATAACATTTTGATAATTTGAACTTCATTCTTGATCTAAAACTGTAATGATTTCAAAGGACGTGCAATGAAAGGCATATCCTACATACAGAAGAACCTCCTTGTCCTTTATTACAACCTTATAAACTAGGCGAAAGAGAAAATGCATGCCCCACTTTTCAGATCAAAGACAGAGGCTGACAGGAAAAATAGCTTTTGGAAGTCACATACTTAGTAAACGGGAGAACCAAAACTAAAAAAATCAGGTCTTCTCCAAGTTTCTCATTAGCATCTACTGAAAGGCCTTATGCACCAATAAATATTTAAAACTTAAATTTAAATTAAAAAAAAATACAAGGTAATTAAGTCTACTAGCAGAAGATGGAAGTGGGGAAGGGGTGAGTGGAGAATAAGGATAAGCTTTTATAAACATAAAATCCAGATGATAAAAACTGACAATTTTTAAACAATGTTCCCTCTACAATATTTAAAAAGAAAAAAATACCTTGGAACCGGCGTAGCAGCGTACAATCCTATAGTGTTGTTACTCTCAAGAGGGCTTGAGTTTGCAGCAGCATGTTTGCACCGGTTGTATATTGTCTAAAGAAATGAATGCATGGTTTAAAGATGAAAATCAAAAGGTTATCAAGTACTTAAGGTATATTGGAGTGTATCAATGTATCTACCCAAAATCGCCTTCCTGGCTATGCTTTTTAACGATCAAATTCATATAGTAACATTTAAATTCAAAATATAAATACAACCTTACATAATTTAGCTGTCTTAAGAACTAACATATCTCAAGCATACTGTATGATTACAACTGCCTTTTAAATTGTGAAAATCAGTTTCACCTCTTACCGTACTAACATCCAGAGGCAGTATGAAGACAATAAGAAAGCAGAGATACCAAGCTAGCAGTGTTCCAACAATTACAAGTCTATGCTGTTTCTTAAAGTCTCCATATCGATGAAGTAGGAATAATGCCAGAAAAAAGACAAAAACAATCTCGAGTCCCAAAGCTGCACCACTCATTATTGAATGTTCACTCTGACTAACCAAAGTAATTCACGTACAGGTCTGGATCATATCTGTAAACTGGAAAAAAAAAAATGCAGCGTTAACACAAGAAATGACCACCTGTAAATTTCCTAAATATCTGTTTATTAATGTATTAATAAATTCTTTGGAAAACTGTCATGCTTTACACTGGACTACAAATAAAATGAAAAGGATAATTCCTACTCTCAAGTATTTGTGTCTTATTTTTTAAAGCATATATTAAAAATTTCACGTAAATTATACCTTCAGGAAAAAAGGTATTTTAACAAACTTAACATTAGTTCTTAAAATATTGTAAAATAAGAATACTAGATGCGAACAGTTTCAATAGTGTCATTTGGAGTTTGTTCCTTAATGTTGTGAGTCCTAACAGAATATTTTATACAAATACACTATTGACTAGTTCCTAGGAAATTAGATATTTCTTAAAATGAACTTTTCTAAGATCATCCAAAGACCATTACGTAAGATTTTCTAAAAGAGAGGGAGAGACAGAAAGACAGAGACCATTTGAAAGTAACCTTTCCTTTGTTTGAAACAGTATTTTTCTTTAGTGTTAATATTGTCTAACTCAATTCTCATGACTTGAAATTCTTATCCACTTATTGCTTCACATAATATATTTACACTTTCTATTTATCTATATAAATCTTATTTTCTTTAAAGAAAGTCACTTTATTTTATATGCAGAAAAACTTATTAATGATTATTGAAAAGTCATACATTTGAAAATATTTTTAGTATAAATGCTGATGACACAGGCAACAGCAAATGGTTTATTTCTCTACTCTTATGAAACAATTTACCTTTACTAACTGAAGGCATTATATACTTTTTACCTTTGTAAAATCACTGTTAAGCATTTTTGTTTGTTTATGGACTAACTAAATATTCCAAGGAATTAATTAATATCTTAACATAGAGAATCAAGATTGTGATGCAACTCACCAAAATAAAATAAGGAAGAGTCAATAAAATACTTCAAATCAACAAACATCTCCAGCCAAAACTAGTTATAAAAAGAACAAAGAAAGTTTGAGTAATTTAACAGGCTAAATTTAAATTTATATAGGAAAAACCCCTATATGAACTATCACAAACAAAAATCACATTTAACAATTTTCTTCACTTTTTCTTTATATTGTTGAAGTAGTTTCTTTCCATTCCTCTGTGCATTTCAACCATCAATATTTTCATTCTTCTTAAATATCTAAAGTTTATCCCCTTTTGTCACTTCCTATCACCTTACCCTGCTCTATTTTTCTTCAAAACACTTATCCACCTGATATAATGTATATTCTTTATTGTCTCTGGATAACCACCCCCCCCCAGCCCCCTCAAACATAGACTCCATGAGAGCAGACTTGACTATTTTATTCATTGCTATATCCTAAGTCTTTAATATAATGACTGGCATATAACAGATATTCAAGAAATATTTGGGGCCAGCCCCAGTGGCCTAGTGGTTAAGTTTGGTGCGCTCTGCTTCAGCATCCCGGGTTTGGTTCCCAGGCGCAGACCTATACCACTCATCTGTTAGTGGCTGTGCTGTGGTGGCGGCTCACATACAAAAAAAAAAGAGGAAAATTGGTAGCGGATGTTAGCTCAGGGCAAATCTTCCTCAGCAAAAACAAGAAAACAAAAAACAAAAAAATATTTATTGAATGAATAAATGAATGAACAAAAAACATACTGTATACTTCAGTATATATACTATTTTTTATTATTGCTGACTGCAAAGACAATGTAAAACTCTTGTTATGGTCTCCAAAATTGATTTTACAAATACTTATTACAACTCAAAAGGCTTAAAACTCTGTTTATTACTAATTACTACTCAAAATTTCAAATTACACGTTCTGTGGAAAAACTTATACTATCACATAAGAGTAAGTCAAATCCTATTTTTAAGGCAAGAATAGATTAAGTGGTTAGCCAATAGTTCAATGTAGAATGTGCTGATGAAAAACCATTATCACCTTCAAGATCCAGCTTTGAAAAAAACATCATTCAATGTGAATTTAAATATAATGTAATTATTATGTGAAAATCTCTTTATAGTTTGATCTAGGTATTTATTTACCTGAATTGTCCAGTACAAGGAATAAGACAATCATAGAAAAGAAGACTGAATATCATAGATTACCAAGGAAATGCTAAATAAAGTATGAAAGAACCAAATGATGGAATATTACTGAAGTGTAAGAAATAATGTTTAAGATTAATAACATTGGAAAACTACCATAACATTAATTGAAAAACTAGATATACACAATTTTACGTAATAAGCACTAAAAAAAGACAACAGTGAAATATATGAAAACATCAATAATAAGTGGTAAGATTATGGGCATAAGCAAACAACAAAATCAGTTATAAACTTGCCACTAGCTACTAATATTTTTTTTTTTTACTATGGCTGTCAATTTTTCAGTCTGATTCAGAGTCAGTACTTTAAAATGTTGTAGACAAATAAACAGAATCCTTTGGGTCCTATGGATCCTTTATTCTAGTAATAAAGAGATGATCTGGTTACATCTCTTCCCATATTCAACGTATTATGCTGCTGTAAACAATTATTACAAACTTAGTGGCTTAAAACAACACCCATATCTCATAGTTTCTGTGGGTCCAGGCATGGCATGGCTCAACTGAGTTCTCTGCTTAGGGACTCACAAGACTGAAATCAAGGGTGTAGCAGGTTTGTGTTCCTCTCTGGAGACTCTGGGGAAGAATCTATTTCTAAGTTGATTCAGGCTATTGGCAAAATTCACTGTTACAGTTATAAGACTGAGATCCCCGCTTCCTTGCTGGCTGTCAGCAGGTATTTGCCCTTAGTTCTAGAGAGACCTCTCTCTAGTCTTTTCTTGTGGCCCCATATATCTCAGAGCCAGCAATGGCTTGTCAAATTCTTCTCATGCTTGGAATCTCCGACTTCCTCTTCTGCCCTCAGCTAGGAGAAAGCTCTGCTTAAAGGCTCATCTGATCTCATTGGGCCCACCTAGATAATCTAGTCATATTTACTGGTTCCAGAGATTAGGGTGTAGACATCCTTGGGAGTCTCTTATTCTGTTTACCACACCATTTCTGTTCAAGCTGAACTCCTATTGCCTTGTCATGACACAAGGTTAGGCCTAGGGGTCCCACGAAATTGGAGATGAAAATTGGAGTTTTCCTAACCTGAGATGAGAAAATAATAGTTTTAAAGTCCGTATCATCAACCTTGTACCTAAATGCAAGCGAGGAACTGTTTTTTTTACAGTCCAGAATGATAGCAGTTTCCAAAGTTCCTTATGAATTCCTATAGCCTCTTTTGGTTATTTCAACTGAATAATTTTCTGTTCAAAGCTAGGGGTGCCTTATTCTCCATCTGATTTAGTTATTTGTATATTAAATTCATAAGATAATTTTCAATTAAAATCTAATAAAAATAAACAAAGATTGGACAACTCAAGTTCCGCTTATTAAAAAAACTTATTGCCAGAGAGCACAACAATTTGGCAATATGTATCAAAAACCTTAAAGAAGGTACACACCCTTTGTCCTAGCAATTCCTCTTTAAATAACTTAAAGAAAAACCAAAATGGGAACAAAGATTTATCCATAGTGTTATTTTTCACAGCAGCATTATTTAAACACGAAAACACAGAAACAACTTAAATGTTTGTACTAAATAGTCCAGGATGTCCACCAGTCTCATAATTGTCCATTGCCTTTTTGAGAAAGGCAGCCAAAGGTTTCATAAATCACTAATCCTGCTAACCTGGCCACGACTGATGAGAGGAGGGATCTGTGTTTGAGGCTACCTAAGAGCAACACTCCACTGTAGATTAAAGGAGCCCACCAGATCCCTCCAGCCTAAAGAAAGGTGAGATCCAGAGACACTTTAGAGATGTCAAAAGAGACGGGGTGGGGTCTGAGGGCATACACACAAGAAATACACATATATGCATGGACGGATATACACTAAAATGCTAACAGTAGATGTCATAGAGTAGTAAAGAGATGATTTCTACTTTCTTCTTTGTCCTTTCTTGTATCTGTGTGTTTTTAATTTTAAATAATGAATATGTATTATTTTTTAATTTTAAAATTATTTAAAAATCAACGTAGTAAGATGAAAGTAAAACACACAGCAACTAGAATACGAAAAATTTGCGACAGTGTTATTGTGTCAAAAATCACAACTGTTTTAAATGTTTTATTACACTGTGGTAAACCTGGGTTCTAAATCTTAACTCTATTTAATAATTGTGTAACTTTACGCAATTTAAGCTATTAAATGAGGATAAATAATCAACTCACACAGATTGCTATGAAGATCAAACGAAAGATAAGAGTAAAATACCAAGCAGGAGTTCCAGGCACAGAGTAGGTCTTCAATAAACGCTAGTTGCTAATCTCTGCCTCCTTCATATCATGCGCTTGCAGAAGACAACTAGTTTTCCCAATGGTCTGAAAGCACAGCTTTACCCTAAACGGTCTTCCTTCTAAAAAAAAACTACGAACAGATATCAAATGCTTTTTGTTTCTCATTTTCTGTGGTTACCACAGCCTAGGCATACCCTCATTCTTATAAAACAAAAAATGATCCTCGCTCACAGAAACTGCTCCTCTTGCCTCTCTTGACAAATTGGGATGACCTCTCTAAGTCTGCAAGGTAGCCCAAACAACCCTCCCCTTTTGCTGTGAAGAGACAAAACACATCTCAGAGCCATGTCAAAAAGGTGCATTTGACGTACCAATGTCATATAGAAAGACAATACCATTCTTCTAGGCACATGATCAAAATGGAGGCAGACTACTCCAGATTATTTGCTGAACTGTAACCATGTGCAGCTGTGCAAAAAAACTACTGAAGGGCAAAAGGGGAAATAGGCCTCTGAGCACAACAATGGTCCTTCTAATAATATTCTTTAAATATTAAAATAATGTGTTTAGGCTAAATGGAAAACAAGAAGAATATACTAAAATTTGAGGCAAATCAAAATTCAGTTCCATGTGATAAGAAATGAAAAAGAGACTTAAAGCTGTCATGGGTTGGCATTAACACCACAGCAGCAAAAGTAGATTTTACTCAAAATCAAAATGCCAATTCTTTCATTCAATCGAATTTTAACACCTAATATGCGGACATAGTCTACCTCTCAAAATACCAGTTCTGAAAGTCCTAAACACTTAAAATCAAATTCAGTCTTCTACCAATAATCAATATATTATACAATATTACCTTCAAATTCCTTTCATAATTAGCAGCAAAAGTAGATTTTACTCAAAATCAAAATGCCAATTCTTTCATTCAATTGAATTTTAACACCTAATATGCAGACATAGTCTACCTCTCAAAATACCAGTTCTGAAAGTACTAAACACTTAAAATCCAATTCAGTGTTCTACCAATAATCAATATATTATACAATATTACCTTCAAATTCCTTTCATAATTAGCTTGTTAATGATACTGACTTGGAGTACTGTTTCCTGAGTACTTTATGGCTGATAATGATTTTTCATGCTAAACACACTTTGAGGGAAAATTTAGAGGTTAAGATAATTTTGGAATTTGAAGCATCCCAAATATTTTCAAAAAAAAGAGAGAAAAAAGGGAAAGAGAGACAGGAAGAAAGGAAGAATTCATAATAAATGAACAGGAAAACACACACAAAAATTTTGTTAAAACCGAAGATCCTGAAACTGAATGAAAAATTTGACTGTCAGTCAGACTATCTGACTAAAACCTAATGATTCATCAGACTCAGATTATGTTAACTGAAATATGTATCTTTACTCAGATACATAAAGTAACAAAAACTAGGAGACAACTCAAGATCCTGCTAATGAAAAGTCAAAAGAATCTGAACTAGACGTGAGTGATGAAAGTCAACAATTCTCTACCACCAATCAAAATATAAATCTTCCGAAGATAGTCATTATTCTTATGTTTAAAGACTTCAGGGATAGAGAATTCAGCTTAGGATGTAGACAGAATACCAGAAGAGAATATTGCTCCCACTCTAAAAATGGGAAAAAGTCATATTTCTTGAAGCTATCTTCAAAAAATAAGCTGAGGTGGCAAACCAACCAGGTGAACTGAATTCCAAAGCATGATAAGCCATTTGGAAGATAGATAAATATCAACTGTTTCACCTTTGGCAAGGTATGAGAGAGGAGGTAGCAACCATGTAAGCAGGTAAGAAGAAAACAACTGGATTTGTAATGAATTCTTAAAGATTTCTGGTATAGACATTGTAAGACTTATTTTGGAAACTGTAGAATACTCTGAGTCCTTCCTAATAACAAAATAATTTTTTAAAAAGGAATAGCTATCATTTAGCGTGAGTTTACTAAATTCCAACCATTGTGCTAGCACTTAACACACTTTGTTGAATTAGACCTCACAACCCAGTAAGAAAGGAGTGTTAGTATCCTTGTTTAATAGAAGAGAAAACGGCACAGAGAGGGTAAGTAATTTGGCCATGTTCCCACAGATGAGTGGCAAAGCTGGGATTCAAAGCGAGGCATCCTGACTACAGAGCCTGGCTCACAATTAGGATACTACACCGTCTCTTCTCCAGTCCAAACATACTTTTTTAATGCAATTTAAATTGTTTAAATCATTTTTGTTCAGTTTTCATAGTGAACAAATTAGAAATTCTCCTATTATTCCTTTAGATATATGAAGATAGAATGCTAAGAAAGTCATGTTTAATATAGAATTTAACTAAGCCTTTTTACCTTGCAAGTAATACTGCCATTACTAAGGGTGATACATAACTCTAATCTACATGGGAAAAGTAAAAAGAGCAAATTAGAACTGGGGAAGAACCCTTCTGTTCTTGCCCTAATCTGTCCATCAGAGAGAGCACTAAACTGCAGAGAACTAAAGGTCTACTTTAAAATTAATCAAGGGAAAATAACTCTTTTGAAATCTGATTGGCAGATAGAAACTTCTTGCTATGTAATTGTTCTTAGTCTTTTGTTCCCCTAAGCTAAATAACACAGAAAAAAAAAAAGAAAAGAATTTTAAGATTTACTTCATGCTATGATTCAGGAAGTAAAGAAAAAGCACATCACCCTTCTATTTAAATAGAATCTCTTTTGTTTTACTGATTTTCAAAAAGATCACTAATATACTACTGTATATATATATATATATATATGTATATATGGCTTATATATACATATATATATATTTGACTATAGCTTATAGTCAAATATCATTTCCAGGCCTTTTTGGCCCCTCCTGTGCCCTTGTAACTATGCTTTTGCCCCTTTGTATAACTTTCTCAATTTACAAAGTCACTTAGTATTCTATCTGAAGCTTCCAATGAGTACTAGAAATTACTCATCCCACAGTCATTTGCAGATATTAAAAAAAAAAAAACTATAATTCATTTGTTGTAGATACTGATCTAGTAATTCTACTTCTAGAACTATGGTATACCTCTTTTACTAAAATGGGACATGGGGTGTGCTAAGATCAAACAAATAAAATTAATCAGGAAAATAAAAAAAATCCACATCAGTAGCAATCACGATGCAGTTCCTGAAGAGACCAGGCAGCAATCTCTAGTGACCTAGTAATCTCAAGTCTTCAATGGACACAATTCCTTACATTAAACAGAACCACATATACCAAGTTAAACTTTTATTTACTATATTAGGAGAACAGCCATGATTAGAAGGAATGCAGAAAAAAATTATGCCCATATTAGCAAGCTAAAGCGTTTCTCTTGTGAGTGCAAAGTGTTAGTCAAATATCTATTCTAGTATTAGAAGACTTCGATTTGCAGAGTTGAAAGGCTCTCTCTGAAGTCCTACAGAGGATCTGGTGTCCACCAATTCAGATATTGCAAGTATTCTGTGAACTAGAAATGTTCCCTAGCTCTCAAGCAACTACTAGCTAAGTCCCAGACTGAACAGGATACTTCTCATCTTTAAATTTAGAATCATCCCATCTCTTAGACCTTCTATCTATGAGATCTGTATCTAAAGTGGCCTCGCCAAATTACTTTATATCTCAAAACTTTGTTTATTCTCATCATGGCATTTTAAATACTTTTTTCCTTGTTTATTCTTTCTCCTCCCTTACTTAGAAGCTTCCTCTGTCTTGTTCACTTTCCTGAAGGAGACTATAACTTTTATTGCTAAAAATACCCTCTCTAGCGGCTGGCCCCATGGCATAGTGGTTAAGTTCCAGGTTAAGCTCCAATTCAGTAGCCTGGGGTTCGTGGGTTCAGATCCCAGGCGCGGACCTACATCATTCACGAAAGCCATGCTGTGGCCATGACCCACATACAAAATAGAGCAAGACTGGCACAGATGTTAGGTCAGGGCCAATCTTTCTCAAGCAGAAAGAGGAGGACTGGCAACAGGTGTTAGCTCAGGGCCAATCTTCCTCACCAAAAAAAATATACGTATATATTTTCTCTAATAAGTTGCAATTTTAAGGGAAAAGATGTAGATTTCAAAGGAAGGCCACTGCTTTCTCCTTAGCCAAAGTAACATAAAACTGACTTTATGTAAAAAATCAGAATACTGCATTTAAAAATATTTTCCATACACTATTAGTTTAATGGTTTGTGAACATTCTACATAGTATTCTTTACCTAGTTTCAACCAAAATCACTTTGTGACCAGATCCCCTTTTTACACCAATTCCACCTACTTTCAAGAACAACTTGAAGGTTCATGAATACTTTCCTCTGTTAAGAAATGGTTACTTTTCAAGCTAAGCACCAACCTTGAAACAAGCACAGACGTGGGCAAAGGAGGTTTAATTCATGTTTTTTAAAGAAATGAATCCTTTTTTTTAAACAACTAAGAATCACTTCTTTAAATAAAGTGTGTCATACAGCATAGTGACCTACTATTTTTGAGATGAGGCTGGCCTGCTTGCTTCTGAACTTTTTAAATCCTCTCCATTTTCCTTAGGGTTGGAATTTATTCCCCTTCCCTCTTCCACTGTTCTCCCGGGTTCACAGTTAACAGTACAGTTTGCACAACGGATTTCGCATGGTCATCCTACCTGGAATATGGCACGCTCCCTACTCTAAGCGCCCCCAACTCTTCTCCGCAGAGATAGGCTAAAAGCAGCTGTCTTGACGGCGGCGACGCAACCCCAGACACAACCGGTTGAGCAAGCGCAGCCGAATGGCTTTGCTGGTGGCTCGCAGCGTTGCATTGTCAAGCCCTTTACAAACATATAGTCACCTGATTTGTTCCCACGCTAGCACTTATAAGACTAGTCAAGGCTGCCAGGGGATGCGCAGCTTTCCCACTGTACACAGGATCCACTATGGTCTCCTGCTCCGCTAAAACTAAACCACCGCCTCTCGTTCGAACTGCGCTTTAGTTTACAAAACGCGTTATCTTATCCGCCCCTCTCTTCAAGCCTGGGAGACGAGCGTCGTCGTTGCAGTGCGTAGTTTACAGGTGATCAAAGGATCCTACCCACAGACCCGGTCCTAAGGGCCGCCCTCTCCTCCGTGGAGGAGGCAGCTTCCTGGCAGACGGGAGAACAGCTGTGACGCCCCCGGCTCGCAGCCTCTCACCTGGCCGGTGGGCCGGGCTACCGCCTCCACTCAGCTTCCGGGAACGTGGGCCCCGCGGCGGCGGCCAACCGGGGTCTCCAGGGTCCTCTCGATGTCCGTCTGCGCGCGGCCCCAGACCCAAAGCGCCTCACGCTCTCTCCCTCAGGCCCACCGTCCGATCTCGCCAGACAGCGTCTGGAAGGCCCAGGAAACTCCGCGTCCGCCACAGCCGTCCAGGGTCTGGGACCCACGCGCCGAGGCGACAGCGGTGGCGGTCACCAGAAGGCCTGCGGGTTCGCGGGAAAGGAAAACCCGACCCCAGTCAAGCGGCTGACATTTCTCAGTCAGCCGGAGCACCGCCCACTTCCGCTTCCCCGCCTACTCCGTGGGCTCTGCAGCCCCTCAGCCGCGGGGGGTTGTGGGTATCGCGAGGGCGGGCAAAGCTGCAAGGAAAGAAAGTAGTGGCGAGCCAGGCGGACTACGGGGCAGGGCAGAAACTACAATTCCCAGCAGGCAGCGGGGCCGCAGACGGCGGCTGCGGAGGAGAGCGGGCAGAAGAGCTCTGCGCGCGCGGCGGGGATGGAACGTTGCTAGAGTTCGCGGGTCTTGCTGCTGCACGCTGCAGCAGCACGCTGTGAGCCGCCGCGCGCCAAAGCGGGAATCCGGGAGGCGGGCAGCTCTGCAGTCAATGCACGCATTTAAAACTCCCGAGCCTGTAGACGCCATGCACAGGTAAACTGATTGCAAAATGGGGCAGAACATGAATGGACCTTCTTAATTCATTTAGGCCGCGGATATTGCTACTTGCAATATTGTTACTAATGCTGCAACGCGAATGATTGCTTAGCCGCTGTTCTTTGGGAAAGCGCGAATGGATGGAAGCTTTAGTGCGGTGATCAGCGTGCGGTTTTATTAGGCTCCCCGTATTGGGCTTCCCTGCTACTGTTTTCAATCACTGTGTGATTGCCCTCTTTCTTTCCTTGTCTGTTCTCTCGACTTTAAGAAATTCTTGAGGCCTTCTGCATGATCGTAAATCAAAGAGCCTTTTCGATTTGTTTGGTTATTTTCTCTTTCATTCTTGGGAACTCGCTACCATCACGTAAAAAATGCAATTCTGTTAGCTATTGTGAAAGTTTTCTACAATGCATAACGTGCAATTCCGTTTAGGCCTACCTTGGAATTATTTACGGGTGTGTTTTAGAAAGAAGCGGGGTGGCTATTGTGCATCTTTGCAGGAAACACCTCCAGGAGATTCCCGACCAGAGTAGCAACGTTACCACCAGTTTCACGTGGGGATGGGATTCTAGCAAGACTTGTGAACTGCTGTCAGGCATGGGGGTCTCCGCCCTGGAGAAGGAGGAGGTGGATAGTGAGAACATCCCCCAGGAACTGCTCTCAAACCTGAGTCATCCGCAGAGCCCGCCACGAAAACGGCTGAAGAGCAAAGGGAATGACAAGGACTTTGTGATCGTCCGCAGACCTAAGCTAAATCGAGATAACTTTCCAGGTAAGGTATGAGGGTAAAACTGTCAATCACCCAAAGGGTGTATTGAACTAGTTTGTTGTGCAAAATGGAGATTTGTTCAGGGATCTTTGGAATGGGGCCCTTTTAAAATTGCCTAATTCTAAAGCTATTTTCCAAAGAAATGAGACAACTCATTGTCGTTGAAGTCTACAGGAATATTGGTAGGAACATATCTTCTAATGCACAATTGACTTTTGACCCATGTGAAATTTTAACCCATGAGAAGACATTCCTGTCTTTTTCCTTAGAAGGGAATCTGCCTGCTCAAAAGCCAGCTCAGTGCCACTGATAAATGGGAACATAAGCAAAGATCTTCTGTAGGATTCTTTTTGTTTATATTCTGCTGCTCTATAGCCCTGGTTGAGCTTTTTGCTATAATCACTTTAGTTATTTGTCTAAGAACTGCTAAAGTGAAAGTTAAACACAAGTGGAGGAGACTTATCTCCCCAAGTACTCTCTCAAATGGGCTTCCTCTGGCATGCCCTGTCTCCATTACTGCCAGCATTAAACCCAACCCAACCCAACAACCTGAGGGTCACTCAGATTCCCACCATCCCCTGACATCCAGCCAATCATTGAATCTTTCCCTCTTGTCTCAGAAATATTCTCAAACTTTCATCATCTCTTGCCTGAACTATTGGAATGGACTCAGAATTCTAGCCTTATCCTCCCCAGATCCGTCCCCAGAGTTAGAGTGGACTGGTTGAAATGTAGAACTCACTATATCATTCCCCTCTTAATAGCTCCCCATTCCCAGTCTTCTCGGCAGGTGAGAGAGTGCCTCCCAGAGAACCCCAAGAGTACTCAGTCATAGGGTAAACATAGTGCATTGACCTGGGGTTATCAGTTTTTCTTGCTAGTAAGTCATTTAAAACATTAATTCAGCAAATATTTGCTGACAACATGCTATGTGCTAGGCATTGTTCTAGGTGCTGGGGATACAGCAGTGAGGAAAATATAAACATTCCTATGCTCGTGGAGCTTCTGTTCTAGAGAGAGGACACAATAAACATAATAAATATGGTAGGTAGTATGTTAGAAGGTGATAAGTGCTATAGCTAAAAACAAAAATAGAACAAGCCAAGAGAGATTGGAAGGACTAGAGTGGGAAGATGGATTGCAATTTTGAACAGGGTATTGAAGGAAAGCTTCACTTAGACAGTGAGCTTTAAGCACAGGCATAAAGGAGGTGAGGGAATGTGCTATGCAAATACCTTGGAGAAGAGAGCAGCAAGCAGAGGGAACAGCCAGTGCAAAGACCCTGGGGCAGAAGCGTGTCATGTTTGTTGAAGGAACAACAGGGAAGCCATACTCCCAGAGTGGAGGGAGGGAAGGGAGAGTAGTGGGAGATCAGGCTAGAGGTGGTGGTGAGCAGAGTTGTGATGTGAGCTTTTAAAAGGACACACTCATGTGTTGAGATTAAAATGTAGAGGGTTGAAGGTAGAAGTTTAGAGACTTGGTAAGAGGTATGGGCTTGGTGATAAACAGTGGTCAGATTCTGGATAGATTCTGACATTAGAGTCAACAGAATTAGGAGGCTATTGAAAGTGCCTGAGTAGAGGTGATCAGTCTAAACTGAAATTGGGTGGGCAATGGAGAAAAAGAGACAGATTAAAGAAATAAAGATGAACTCTTGCAGATCCAACATAAATAAGTATATTCCTAAATTCTTCCCATTTGGCTTCTTTTGCAGAAGCATTGATTGGTTGGTTGGTTGCTTGCTTGCTTGCTTTGCTTTAAAAAAATCTGGGGTTTTTTTGGTTTTTGACCTTTTCATTAGGAAAAAGAACCTTCAAATTATGGTCTGGGAATCTGCATCAGGAGTTGGTTAATTAAAAAGGCAGCGAAGGATTGTGGTGAATTCAGACAAATCTGGGTTTGAATCGCTATTCTGCTGTTTATCAACCTTGGCAAGTTATTTGAGTTCTGTGTGCCTTAGTTTCTTTGTGAAATGGAGTGATAATACTCACTTCATGGGCTGCTGTGAAGATTAGATGACAGAGCACACGTAAAGCTCTTAGCGTGCTGCCTGGCACATAACACTCAATACGTAAACCCAGTTAATGTGGTTAACAAAATTTCTGATGTCCATTTGGAAGGCTACTTCACTTCATCTTTTGTCTTTAATACTGTTGGTCTGACCCTGTTAGTGTAGTTTTTTTTCCTTCAAAATTTAATGTCACTGCTATATTTAGTGTCTGATATGCAGCACTAGCAATTTGATACTTGACCATCCAAACGTGGTGAAAGACACTTCCTGACAAGATGAGCAGATTTTGATTAATTTATCCAGTGCCGATAGCTTTGAATGTGGAGTGTGATTGCTGTATGTCCTTCCCCATTCACACACTCAGATGTCAATAAAAAGGACAATTTTTAAGCAAGGCACTGTGGAAACAAGACGGAAGATTAAGGGAGGGTTGCTTGCTGCCTTCTAGGAAATTGCAAGTCAAGTTGAGAAAAGACAATACACAATAAGTGAAGCTCACAGCAAAAGATGGCAGCTAATGCACTAACAGCAGATGAATAGTTCAGGCAGTGAGTGCTGTAGGAGGCCAGGGGAGGGAGCCCTTAGGGCCAAAGTGACCCAAAACTTCCCAGGTGCGAAAGGCTTCCAAGGTGATTCTTACTGGAGGTGGATGAGCTCCTTCCTTCCACTTAGCAAAAGTGGAGGCTCTGAGAAAAGAGAGAAGGATCTGGAAATGGTATAATCAATGAGGCTAGGTTGTTAAAATTGACTTCAAAAATATGTATCTGGGGGCCAGCCCAGTGGCGTAGTGGTTAAGTTCATGTGCCCCACTTCAGCGGCCTGGGGTTCACAGGTTCAGATCCTGGGCACAGACCTACATACCGCTCGTCAAGCCATGCTCTGGTGGCGTCCCATATACAAAATAGAGGAAGATTGGCATGGATGTTAGCTCAGGGCCAGTCCTCAAGCGAAAAGAGGAAGATTGGCAGCAGATGTTAGCTCAGGGCCAATCTTCCTCACCAAAAAAAATATATATATCTGAAGTGAAAGAGAAAAAATAGTGAGTTTTATATTTGTTATTACCTAAGAGAGAGGCAGGGAAGGAAACTACTAGTATACTTTGTATGTGCGTGGAATTACACACACTATGGATTGGTTAATTGGTGTGGAAGGGGGAGGGGGAGGTTCAATGATGCAGGATGAGAGACAGCTGATGTAGAGGATTTCCAGTGGGCCTCCAGGAGCCTGGGGCCTCCAGTGTAGCTGGGTCATCATTCCAGAGAGTTTTGTCTGCAGTTGTCAAGGCAGGTGGCTGACAGCTCTGCCAGGATTAAGGTAGAACAGGCCACACATGCTTTACGCAGATAACTGGTGATGGTGGCCCTGGGCTGTGAGTTTTTCTTGGTTCTTCACTCAGCATTCTCTTCCTGCGGGCCCCAAGCCAGGCTCACATCTGGCGACTAAATCCTCTTCATCTGTTTATTTTGGAAGATAAAAATTGTGTGGCCAACCAGTACCAAGACAGGTCTGATTGGCCCTTGGGGTGAGTGTGTGGAAGGAATTGGAAGGAAATGGCGCAGTAGTGAGGTCAGCCATGGGCAGAAAGAGAACAACTGCATTTTATTCATGGTCATTAAATGCCTGTCCTGATCCCCTGTCGACCTCCCACAAACAGAGGTTGCCTTGAAAACGCTCTTGAACTAATTTGTTGATGGGCTCTTCCATGGCTATTAAACTGCCTGAAATTCCAGACCCAACAATGATTTTCAGACTGGAGACTCCAGAGTTTAGAGTATACTGCCGTCCCCAAGGGAACGTGTTCAAAGTGCAAAATTCCTGAGATTCTAATCCAAGAAGTCCTGC